AACAAGGACTGAAGTTGAGGCAGCAATTAATGGCCTACCCACCAAAAAAAGCACAAGTCCAGATGGGTTCACAGCTGAATTCTACTAGATGTACCAAGAGGAGCTGGTACCACTCCTTCTGAAACTATTCCAAACAATCCAAAAAGAGGGAATCCTCCCCCAGATCATTTTATGAGACCAGCATCATCATGATACCAAAACCCGGTAGAGACTCAACAAGAAAAGAAAACTTCAGGCCAATATCCACGATGAGTATAGATGCAAAAATCTTCAATAAAATACTGGCAAACCAATTGCAACAGCACATCAAAAATCTTATCCATCACGATCAAGTAGGCTTCATCCCGGGGATGCAAGATTGGTTAAACATACGCAAGTCTGTAAATGTAATTCACCACATAAACAGAACCAAAGACAAAAACCACATAATTATCTCAATAGATGCAGAGAAGGCCTTTGACGAAATTCAGCAGCCCTTTATGCTAAAAACTGTCGATAAACTAGGTATTAACGGAACATATCTCAAAATATTAAAACTATTTATGACAAACCCATAGCCAATATCATACTGAATGGCCAAAAAGTGGAAGCATTCCCTTTGAAATCTGGCACTAGACAAGGATGCCCTCTCTCACCACTCCCATTCAATATAGTACTGGAAGTTCTAGCCAGAGCAATCAGGCAAGAAAAAGAAATAAAGGGTATTCAAATAGGAAAGGAGGAAGTCAAATTGTCTCTATTTGCAGATCACATGATCGTGTATTTAGAAGACCCTATTGTCTCAGCCCAAAATCTCCTGAAACTGATAAGCAACTCAGCAAAGTCTCAGGATACAAAATCAGTGTGCAAAAATCACAAGCATTCCTATACATCAGTAACAGACTTAGAGCCAAATCAAGAACGTACTGCCATTCACAATTGCTACAAAGTGAATAAAATAACCTAGAAATACAACTAACAAAGGATGTAAAGGACCTCTTCAAGGAGAGCTACAAACCACTGCTCAACGAAATAAGAGAGGACACAGATGGAGAAACATTTCATGCTCATAGTTAGGAAGAACCAATATCATGAAAATCACCATACTGCCCAAAGTAATTTATAGATTCAATGTTTTCCCCATCCAACTACCAATGACCTTCTTCACAGAATTGGAAAAAACCTCTTTAAACTTCATATGGAACCAAAAGAGAGCCCACATAGCCAAGTCAATTCTAAGCAAAAAGAACAAAGCAGGAGGCATCACACTTCCTGACTTCAAACTATACTACAAGGCTACAGTAATCAAAACAGCATGGTACTGGTACCAAAACAGAAATGTAGACCGATGGAACAGAACAGAGGCCTCGGAGGCAATGCCACACATCTACAACCATCTGATCTTTGACAAACCTGACAAAAACAAGCAATGGAGAAAGGATTCCATGTTTAATAAATGGTGTTGGGAAAACTGGCTAGCCATGTGCAGAAAGCAGAAACTGGACCCCTTCCTGACACCTTACACCAAAATTAACTCCAGATGGATTAAAGACTTAAACATAAGACCTAATACCATAAAAACCTTAGGAAAAAACCTAGGCAAAACCATTCAGGACATAGGCATAAGCAAGGGCTTCATGACTAAAACACCAAAAGCATTGGCAACAAAAGCCAAAATAGATTAATGGGACCTGATTAAACTCCAGAGCTTCTGCACAGCAAAAGAAACAATCATTAGAGTGAACTGGCAACCTAAAGAATGGAAAAAAAATTTTTGCAATCTACCCATCTGACAAAGGGCTAATATCCAAAATCTACAAAGAACTAAAACAGATTTACAAGGAGAAAACAAAGAAACCTATTCAAAAGTGGGCAAAGGATATGAACAGACACTTTACAAAGGAATACATATATGAGGCCAATAAACATATGAAAAAACACTCTTCATCACTGGTCATTAGAGAAATGCAAATCAAAACTGCATTGAGAAACCATCTCATGCCATTTAGAATGGCGATCATTAAAAAATCTGGAGACAACAGATGGGGAGAGTATGTGGAGAAATAGGAACACTTTTACATTGTTGGTGGGAGTATAAATTAGTTCAGTCATTGTGGATGACAGTGTGGTGATTCCTCAAGGACCTGGAAATAGAAATTCCATTTGACCTAGCAATTCCATTATTGGGTATATATCCAAAGGATTATAAATCGTTCTATTATAAGGACGCATGCACACAAATGTTCATTGCAGCACTGTTTACAATAGCAAAGACTTCGAACCAACCTAAATGCTCATCAGTGATAGACTGGACCGGGAAAATGTGGCAAATATGCACCATGGAATACTATGCAGCCATAAAAAACGATAAGTTCATGTCCTTTGTAGAGATATGAGTCTGGAAACCATAATTCTCGGCAAACTGACACAAGAACAGAAAATCAAACACTGCATGTTCTAACTCATAGGCAGGTGTTGAACAGTGAGAACACACGGATACAGGGAAGGCAGCATCACACACTGAGGTCTGTGGTGGGGAACTAGGGGAGGGACAGAGGAGGGTGGGGAGTTGAGGAGGGATAACATGGGAAGAAATGCCAGGTATAGGTGATGGGGAGAAAGGCAGCAAACCACATTGCAATGTGTGTACCTATGCAACAGTCTTCCATGTTCTTCACATGTATCCCAAAACCTAAAATGCAACAAAATATATATTATAAAAAAAAGAAAAAGATAACTGTAAATTATTATGTCCAAATGGAAAACTGAAATGGTTATTTTATGAGTGCAGCTAAAATTTTAAAAACCATGTATTGAACGAAGAAACATTTGAACCTCTTCGGAGGGTATTGACTACTTTTCTAGGCACTCTGTAAGCACAGTGGAAATAAAATAATACTTGGCTCATGCCCTGATAATACCGTCTTTGTTGGAAGGATGGTCAGACAAGTATATTTCCCAGAATATATGACATCAATGATTGTTATCAGAAGAATATACAGATTGTTAAGTCAATATGCACATCATAAAGTCAAATGTAATAGTAAGTTTCTGGGTTTTTTGACATGGTTTGCAAATATTTTGCTTACTTGAGGGCCTTGTTAGGGTATGAATTAGAGAGTAGTATCTGTTATGATTCACATCTATTGTTCCTGAGTTCAAATAGTAGTAATTCTGATGGTAAATTAGAAAAGCGACAAAGTCATCCTGAAATTTATTCAAATCTATTTGGATTGTAAGAGTTCACCCCTTAAACCTAAAATAATATGTTTGCATCTTTGTTGATATTTTAAAAACATTGCAGTATATATAGTGCTTTTGGATCATTAGTGGAATGAAAGAGATGATCTCTCTAGTCTCTTTCCCTTGAATAATTTCTTGAATCTATTATTTTTAGATATTCAGTTACTAGTTACTAATAAATTTAGATACTTTTTTTATTGAAGTGAAACTTATACAACATAAAATTAATCATTTTAAAGTGTTAGTGGCATTTAGCATGTTCACAAAGTTGTATAACCACCACTTCTTCCTAGTTCCAAAACATTATTTCTTTTTTTTTACTTTAGTATTTTCTCAATGAAAGAAGTCTATTTTGGTCTTGGCCTAATTTTTGGTTTATATTGAGCCCTTTAACTTGCTGTATTATAATACTTGATGCAATGTAAAATTAGTAAAACATTATAATAAAAAAATTTTAAACTGTTTCCATTACTGGTAAGAATCTCTTGATTTTCTTACAGTTGGGTTTGTTTTTTGGTCATGTTTTATATTCCTTAGCTCCCATTTTTTTCTCTATCTTGGGAATAACTCATTTTTAAAAATAATTTTAGTTTTGCTATATCAGTGGTATACAGTATAACTTTAGATTGTTAAATAGGGCATGGAGATGCTTATTCAAAATCCCTGGCTTTGGGATTTAGAAGATACAGGCATTGTCTCCATTTATGATGGTCAGATTTTCATGGGGATAGTGTTGAATCTGTACATCAGTTGGGAGAGAATTGCCAGTTTCGAAGTCTATGAACATGGTAGATCTATTTATTTAGGTCTTTGATTTATATCACTATTCACTACTTTGAATGAGACTGTTTTTAAATGTTTCCAGTTCATTGTTCATTGCTAATTTGTAGAAATGCAATTGATTTTTATATTCTGATTTATACCCTACAACCTTCCTAAACATACTTATTTGTTCTGGTCACTTCTTTGTAGATGCCTTCTTAATTTCTATGTAGAGAACCATGTCATATTTGAATAGAGAGAATTTTCTTTCTTTCTAATCTGTATCTCTTTTACTTCTTTATCTTGTCCTATTTGTATAGTCTAGCAATTGATAACAATTAATAAATAACAACAGATTATCCAATTTCTTTCTGTATTAACTGTGGGAGCAACATATTTAAATAGAGGCCAGTTTTCAAATAAAGTAAGTCTTCACTTTGCCTGGTATTGTGTTAACTGAAATATGCCTATATCAGAAGTGTGTTCATGTTTTCCTTGGAACTGAAGCTTTACAAAACCAGGACGTGGTTCTGGTATTTATGAGCCTCAGTTAACGGGGTGCTTTGCAAGGTGAGGACTGAATTATTTTCTTAGCAATACAGATAGGCTAAATCTAGATCTTTCCTGAGGATAATTTTCCCTTTGAACAGTCACCAATTTTTTAAATTGGGGAAATGTAGGTTTTTGTTTGTTTTGCTTATAAAATTACCAGGCAAAATGATGAAGTAGTAATAAGATGGAAACTGTGGACAAAAATGAAATTTTTAGGATTTTCTGTGGGTTTACTTGGCATGTAGTATTTATTGGTTGTTTTTATTGATTGTGGTTAATATCTTTGTTTCCTACTTAGATCAATTAATAATTGGCTATGAATGTTTTCTGAGATGTATATAGTATAATAATGCCATGTCATATTTTATGTTTCCTGAAATTATATACTTTTATTAAGTTATTAAACTTAACTGAAAGAGCCTTACTTGATATTTTCAGTATGTTTTTGTTGTTATTTATTTTAGATAATGTGCAAAATGGCTCCCATGGTTGGGAAGGATATTACAGAGCGTCTTATCCTCCCTAGGTTTTGTGAGATGTGCTGTGATTGCAGAATGTTTCACGTTCGAAAGGTATTTTTTGTCAAAATTTTTTTTCTTCTAAGAACATAGTTTTACTTGTTGATGTACTGATATATGACATTTAAAAGATTATTTTAAAAGAACCTTGTGTGTAATATTTTGAATGTCAATGATGCTTTTGTTGTCAGGTCTGTGCTGCCAATTTTGGAGATATTTGCAGTGTAGTTGGCCAGCAAGCTACTGAAGAAATGTTGGTAAGTATTGCAGATATAAAGGAGTAAATGTTATTACCAGAAGTGTAGTAACATTGAATTTAGGAGTTTAAATATCTGTAATCTGGGCATTTGAGTTGTGTTTTTGTTATTTATTAAAAATGCAGATATGTAACAGGACCATTGATCTGTTTTTACCTATTCCATTTCTGTTAAGCAAATCAATTCTTATTATTTAATTGAATCTTTAATTTTATTGCAACCCTCAAGATTTTTGATGACATACTAAATCTATAACAAGTTAGTTTTAAATACTACACAAGATGCATATACTTGATAAGTCAGCATACTTAAAGAGCTTCTGAAGCCACCTCTTATGCAGAATAAGTTCAAGGGCAAGCTCTTGTATAACATTTAAGTGATGATTGTTAGGAGTGCTTTTTCATAGCCAGTTATAAATTAGATGTGATTTATTGAAAATTGTTGAGTATTAATACTAATAGATCTTCTACTTTTTAAGACAATCCAATATTTAAAACACTATGAGGCCAGGCGTGGTGCTCAACATCCGTAATCCTAGCACTTTGGGAGACCAAGGCAGGTCAGGAGTTTGAGACGAGCGTGGACAACATGGTAAAACCTTGTGTCGGCCGGGCGCGGTGGCTCAAGCCTGTAATCCCAGCACTTTGGGAGGCCGAGGCGGGTGGATCACAAGGTCAAGAGATCGAGACCATCCTGGTCAACATGGTGAAACCCCGTCTCTACTAAAAATACAAAAAAAGTAGCTGGGCATGGTAGCATATGCCTGTAATCCAAGCTACTCAGGAGGCTGAGGCAGGAGAATTGCCTGAACCCAGGAGGCGGAGGTTGCGGTGAGCCGAGATCGCGCCATTGCACTCCAGCCTGGGTAACAAGAGCAAAACTCCGTCTCAGGAGAAAAAAAAAAAAAACCTTGTGTCTACTAAAAATATAAAAATTAGGCAGTTGTGGTGGCACATGCCTGTAATCCCAGCTACTCGGGAGGCTGAAGCTGGAGAATTGCTTGAACCCCAGAGGCAGAGGTTGCAGTGAGCCGAGATTGTGCCACTTCACCCCAGCCTGGGCAAAAGATCGAGACTCTGTCTCAAAAAGAAAAAGCTATGAAAGCAGAAAATGAAAAGAGAAGTAACTAATGAAATCTGCTGTCTTTGTCCAGCTAACAAAACTCTTTCCTTTTCACATAGCTGCCCAGATTTTTCCAGCTGTGTTCCGATAATGTTTGGGGAGTCCGGAAGGCTTGTGCGGAATGCTTCATGGCAGTTTCGTGTGCAACATGTCAAGAAATCCGACGGACCAAATTATCAGCACTTTTTATTAATTTGATCAGTGATCCTTCACGTTGGGTAGGGTTTTAATTATCACTTTTATAAAATAATATATTTGGGTTTGTTTTAAAGCAAACATAATTTTGACTTCATAAGAAATAACATAATTAAAGATATTTTTTATACTTTCGGGAGTAGACAGTAGAAAGACTAATATATTAACAGTTACTGTGTTTTTTTGTAACAGGACAAAAATTTCTGTACAAATATGAGTCCTGTTGATTTTTATTTAATTGGCATGATGTATTATGTTAATTGATTTTTAGATGTTAAACCAATTGCATCTTTGGAATAAGTCCCACTATGTCATAGTGTATAGTTCTTTTTATATGTTGCTGGATTCTGTTTGTCAGTATTTTGTTGAGGGTTTTTGTGTCCATACCATGAAAGATATTGGTCTGTAGCTTTCTTATGATGGCTTTGTCTGGTTTTGTTGTCAGAGTAATAATGGCCTCAGAAAATGAGTTGGGAAATGTTCCCTCCTCTTCTATTTTTGGGGAGAGTTTTTGAAGAATTGGTACTGATTATCCCTTAAATGTTTGGTAGAGTTCAGTGGCAAAGCCCTCTCTGGCCCTGGGCTTTTCTTTATAGATAGTTTTAATGTTCCTAATCCAATCTCTTCACTAGTTATAGGTCTATTCATATCGTGTTTTTTTCTTGAGTCAGTTTTTATAGTTTGTGTCTTTCTAGGAATTTGTACATTTCATCTGAGTTATTTAATTTGTTGGTATATGATTACACATAGGATTCCTTTATAATCTTTTGATTTCCGTAATGTCATAGTAATACCTCTTCTTTCATTTCCGATTTGAGTAATTTGAGTCTTGCTTGTTTTCTGGACAGTCTGATAAAGGTTTGTCACTTTTGTTGATCTTTTAGAGAACCAACTTTTGGTTTCATTGGTTTTCTCTATTTCATTAATTTCCATTTTAATCTTTATTTTCCCTTGTACTTGGTTTTAGTTTATTTTGCTGCTTTTTCCAGTGTCTTTAGGCAGAAGGTTAGGTTATGGATTAGAGGTCTTCTTTCTTTGAATTATCTGGGGTAAATGGCTTTCAACTTGAAGAATTTAATTTAGTATTTCTTATTAATGTAGGTCTGCTAACAACAAATTCTTAGTTTTCATTTATCTGTGGATGTCTTTATTTCACCTTCAATTTTGAAAGACAGCTTTGCTTAATGTGAGATTGAGCGTGTTATGCCACTGCCTCTGACCTCTTTTGTTTCTGCTGGGAGGTCAACTGTTAATCAGTTGGGTTTCCCTTGTAGATGATATGTCATCTTTCTCTTGTTGCTTTTTAGATTTTTCTCCTTGCCTCTGACTTTCAGAATTTTTACTGTGATGTGTCCATTTGTACAGCTCTTTTAGTTTATACTACTTGAAGTTGAGTTTATTGAACTTCCTAGTTATGTAAGTTACGTTTTTCAATAAATTTGGAGTTTTGAGCCAACATTTCTTTAATTTTTCTTCTCTTTTCTCTCTTCTCTCCCTCTAATATCCCCATTTATATATATATATATAAAATAAAACATGCTGTATATAATATGCATATTATATATTACATATAATACATATTACATATAGTATGCATATTATATAAATATATTATATATTTGTGTATATATATTATATATAAGTTAATGTGCTTAAAGATGGCCCACATTTCTCTGAGGCCCTTTTCATTTTTCCTCATTTTTCCCCCTCTGTTCTTTGGCTTGCATAGTCTCTCTTGATCTATTTTCAATAGGTCAATTCTGTGTTCTGCCAGTTCAGATCTACTGTTGAGCTCATGTAGTGACTTTATTTTAGTCATTGTACTTCTCAACTCTAAAATTTCCATCTGGTTCTTTTTCATAATTTCTCTTTATTGATATTATGTTCTAGTTGATACAGCACTGTCCCCATACCTCCTATTACTTTTGTAATCATCATTTCCTTTGGTTCTGCAAACATGTTTATAATAGCCACTTTGAAGCCTTTTTTTAAAAGTCTGAAATCTGATTGCTCTCACAAGCAGTTTCTATTGCCTGTTTCTTTTTTTCCCCTAATGTATGGATTTTTTTTTTTTTTTGCATACCTTGTAATGTTTTGTTGAGAGTTGAACAGTTTAGATAACATATGTAGTAACTTTGATACTAGTTGTCCTCCCTCCCCCATGGGGCTTATGACTGTTATTTGCCAGTTTAGTGGCTGGCTGGAATGCTTGAGTGAAGACTGTTTCCCCACTCTAGGAGGTACAGCTTTGGATCTGCCAACTGTCACCCTGGGATGACAGGGCTTTGGTGGGGATGGAAGGGCAGCAGCCTGAGGTTCCCTTGGCTTCTTTCTCCTGGTGAGGAATCATCACCCTGTGAGCTAGAGCAGTGGGCTAGTGGGGCCCCAATCTTTTTAGTATGCCACACCCAAAGGAGGGTGGAAGAAAGGAGCCTCACCCCTCAGCTGCTCTCCCTCAGGACTGGGACTCAGCATCAGGTAGGTGGAGCAATGCAGAGCCTGTTCCCCAGGAGCTGCAGGAGAGCTGACCCCAGTGTGCTTAGCTGCAGCACACTGCAATCTCTACCTCACCTTGCAGGAGGCAGGATGAGCAGGGAAGGATCTTGGTTCAAATACCATAGACTCTCAGGTTTTTTACAATGTATACTACAGTTTGTTGATTTTCTTGAATCGATATCCCTTCATTTGCTGCTTTCTTCTAGTACCATTTCCAGGGGCTCTGAATGATTGTTTTATAATTTTCACTTATATCACCGGGAAGTGGGTCAGCTGAGCTCCTCACACTGTCACGGCAGATATCAGTTTCAGGACCTTCGCATATTCATTCCCAAAACAAAATTGACATAGAAGGCATGACTCTTAAGCCTTAGTATTATATTAATGTTTGTGTTATATCCTGTATCAGATTGTTAGAAACACACACACACACACACACACACACACACACACACACACACGTAAATTCTATGCCTATTTAGGTGAAAAAGGAGAGAAAATACTCTTTTGTCCAAACAATGTTAAACCATTTGGGGAAGGTTATAATCTGCTCTGCTGTCCCTTCTCCAAAGTTAAAATTGAATTAAAAGTTACTTTTATTTCTGAAATTCTTTAATATTTATTCTTTGAGTGACTTACAGGTTTCTTTTAATGGTTTCCAGAACCTTTCTTTAAAATCATTAGTTGTTTATTTCTTAAAGTCATTGAAACTAGTAAAAATAATAGCTTAAAATCACTTTATTTTGAGAAATACCTGAAAGTAGAAATATTTTTATGATATTGGAAAATTACTCAGTTACGCACAGTGGGATGTGTTGGAGAGTTCAAACTGAACTTTAGTCCTGATTTCGTTGTAACTATAGGGTGACATTGAGGAAGTAATTTTATTTGGATTTAAGTTTCTGTTTTTGTGAAATCAAGGAGGTAGATTAATAGTAGGATTTAATTAACTCTTATTAGAGACTCTCGGTGTCTCTCCTCCACATTAAACTTTTTTCATTCTAATCTAACAACAAGGTAAACTAATAATTTAGATTAAGTTTTCTGTATCCTTTATTGGGAACAGACTCAGAGATTTAACAATATTCAGAGAAGGTTAAATTCATGCATACAGTGTTAAAAGTGACCTTTTGTCCTTTTCTGGAAGTAATGTTTGGTGACTTAGGAAGGGGAGAAAAACCCTTAGTTCACACACATATAGGCTATTCTTTTCCCTCTTATGCATATAGTTCTAGCCTTTTTAAAAAAAACAGTTGAGTCCTTTTTTATATATGCTTCTCCAAGTAGGTGAATTCTAATGATATGCTTTACATTTATTTGCCTTGGTAAAAGTCATGCTTACTGTATAATTCTTATCTTAAACTTGCAAAAGGTATTATTAGGCATTTTTTTTTTAAGAAAAGAAATGCTAGCCAGGCGCAGTAACTCACACCTATAGTCCTAACACTTCAGGAGGCGGAGGTGGGAGGATCGCTTGAGGGTAGGACTTCAAGACCAGTTAGGGCAACAAAGCAAGGCCCTGTCTCTACAAAAAAAAAAAAAAAGAAAGAAAGAAGAAAAATTAGCTGGATGTGGTGGCACTTGCCTATCTGCAACTATTCATTAGGCTGAGGTTGGAGGATCATTTAAGCTCAGGATTTCAAGGCTGCAGTGAGTCATGGTAGCACCACTGCTCTGCAGCCTCCACAACAGAACGAGGCCTGTCCCAAAAAGAAAAGGAAAGCTAAACTTGGAAAAACTGATATGCGGCAAAGTCAGGGTTTTAGTAACATATCAGTTTTCCCATTGTGGTTGCCTTTGTCTGATTGTATCCATTCATCCTTCCTTCCATAAATCCTCTCATTTTCAAATGTTTTAAAAATTCCTGATTTCAAAAATAATACAGAAATATGACACGAAGTGAAATTCTGTAACTTCTTTATCATTTTTCCTACATGAGATGAGAACAGTAATATATGCTGCAAGATCTTCGTGACATATATTTTAAGCTAATATTATATTTTTGGTACATCTGTCTTGCCTCCTTGTAGTGAACAAATTATAGTCTTTCCCACCTGAAAACATTAAATGTATTTATCACATTTTATTGACTTTATTAATTTTTATGTTCTTTGTGGCAGTGTTGGTTTTTCCTATTCTTTTTGTTCTTGAGAATACAGAAGAACTTTCTTTAGTTTTGTTCTATGCAAATGTTACAGTATCTCATACTTAGATTATCATGGTTCAAACATTCAAGGGAGAATAAAAACAATTGAAATTTAAAAAAAGCAAATAGTGGAGTACAGTGGTGTGATCACAGCTTCATATGATTCTTCCACCTCAGACCCTGCCAAGTAGCTGGGACTTCCATATTTTTTGTAGAGACTGGGTTTCACCATGTTTTCCAGGCTTTTCTCAAACTTCTGGACTCATGTGATCCACTCGCCTTGGCCTCCCAGAATGCTGGGATTACAGGCGTGAGCCACTGGGCTTAGCCAGAGAAAATAGCTTATAAGAATTTTTCAGTCCTGGCTGAGGTTCTGAATCTCGGCTTCCTTTATAAAAGCTTTATTATGCTAAACATACTTTGGCATTTGAAAGTAGATTATTAAATATCTATAATGTGTGTGTTTATAAAATTCTTTTTAAAAATGATTCCTTTATTATTGTCCTTTTTATCTTCTTAGGTTCGCCAAGCAGCTTTTCAATCTCTGGGACCTTTCATATCTACTTTTGCTAATCCGTCTAGCTCGGGCCAGTATTTTAAAGAAGAAAGCAAAAGTTCAGAAGAGATGTCAGTAGAAGACAAAAATAGGTATTATTTTAAAATTGTTTTCTAATTGAAAACTTCGTTTTCTGATTTTACTACTTTTTATTTCCACTATTATGCAACAGGTGTTATTTTTGGATAGTTTGCTATTTCTCTCGAATATAAAAATTGGTAAATATTTTTATAGAGCTTTATTTTAAATGCATTTGTCTGTTATGCATCTCTTCTGTTGGTTACATATCGAACGAGCAGGCGCATGTAACACAATTAGCCAGATGCCTGGCACATAGGAAGCGCTAAATAATAGATTATGATTTTTTAAAAATGTTTAATACATTATTTACCTAGTTAGTCAATCAATGATATCTAGAATATACAGGATAATTGTTATACACTGTGTAGTATTTTTTAAATCTGTTTTTAAGGAGTAAAACTTAATTTAGGAATGTTTTATTTTCCCTTTCTGTCAAATAATTGTGCATCTTGGATTCTTTGTCAATGGTATTTGTAATCTGTGAATTAAAGGAGAAAGTATAGGAATGATTAACACCAATTTAGTATATTTATTGGCCTGTATATCAGTTTTAAGTATATCAGTCTCATAGGGAAACCAGAGTTTTAAATAAAGCTTAAAGAGTCAACTCTGATTTTTATTTTTAAATGCTTTTGCATTGAAAGTTTTCTATTAAATTTTAATTTTTAGAATTTATTATAACATATGCTTAGGGGAAAAACCAATTCAAGCGTAACTTATTAGTATGTGGGAAATGTACACAGTTTTACAGTTATGCACTTGAAATAATTTTAATACGAGTTTTTGAAACAGTCCCTGCTATAATGCTTGAGTTACCATAGTGTCTTGTCCCTCCCTTGTCATGATGCTAATGGACATTTTCTTCTGTAGGTCTTGATACTGTGCTATTTCCTTTCTTGGTGTTTTGATTTGGCAGTTCTTCTTTCTTCTCTGCTGCCTTGTTTTACCTTTTTGCCTGTTCTCCTACTGTCCTGCTGAATAGCCAAACAAACCTGAGGTACTGTTTTTTGTAAAGGAAGAAAATCACTCAAACCTGTCTTCCTAGCAAGCAAAGTCTGTCAGTTCTTTTGAAAACAGGTGTTGCAAGGAGTTTGACAAAATTGATGGGGGTATGGGGAATGTTACCTATTTTTCATTTTGAAATCGGCATACTTAAAATTACTTGTTTAAGTATACTGAAGACTTTTACATAACTTTTGTTTTAAAATAATGGGTCTAGTAAGTAAAATGTAAATTTACAGAGAATTATATAGCATGAGTTGGTAAACTTCCTCTGAAAGGCCACGTAGTAAATATTTTTCTTCTCTTTCACAACTACTCACTCGGCCTTTGCAGTGTGTAAACAGCCATAGACATTATATAAATGGACGAGCTTCCAGTAAAACTTCACTGACCTAAACAGTGTGGCTATCAAGGCCATGTTTGCTGCCTACCAGTGTGTAGTATTATTGCAGGAGCTATTTAAAGGTAGTTTAATTTCTTCATTCTTCTTCCATTGTAATGAGATATGTCTTAATGTCCAGGCAATACTACTTGTATTGCTGATCTTCAGTATATTATTCGAGTTTATTAAATTTTGTTAATGATACGGTAAGGGGAAGAAAGCGTTCCTGGTTTAGGAAGGAGTTGTGCTAAATATCGTAAAAGCTTTTGCACAGTTTGACATCCTATCTTTACAAAGAAGTAGTCTTATGTATTATTAAATCTCATAACTGTTAGTTTTGGCACACTGGCATTTGTTTTAAGCTGTCTTAAACTGTTGTGATATTATTTAAGATTCATTGATTGATTAATTGATTAATCATGTAAAAGGTAATTGAGCACCTACTATGAACCAGAAACTGTAAATGGAAAGATAGAACTTAGTTTCTATTCTCAAAGTTCTCTCAGTTTCCCAGATTCAGGTTTCTCAAACAAATGTCTTACAAAGTAAGCAAGTTTTTGGCAACACATTTCCACTACTGTTTGTTTATTGTATAGTGTTTCATCTGACCCTGGAAACATTTGCTATCACTTTAATACTCTTTGAAGCATTTATTGATTGCAAACATCTTACTTATACATCAGATCTTTCACTCACACTGGATCAGGCTATTAATGCTTCTTTAAAAGTGCTAATAACGGCTACTTCCGGAATCAGAGTTTAAATACTCAAATCTGCATTTTAAAAGTATGTAAAATAGGCATTCACTATTAGGTTGTTCTCTGAATGCACTGTGTTGTAACTCGTCCTGTTTCTGTACTTGCTGCTCTCTGGGACGCTTCTTGCTACATCCATACCCTTGTTTAACCCAGTGGGTGTCAACAGGTGCTGTTTTAGGCTCACTGACTTGTACAGGAAGTACAGAGCTTTTGTCTATGTCTGTCAGTAGCACTGTGATGAGAGCTATTTTAATATTATCTTTTTGGCTTCATGTTGGCATCTATCATCTAGGTAGCCTCCCAGCTATGCAGTGTGGCATCCAGCTATCTCCCTTTGTTTCCACTGGGCCTGGCCTATTGGTGCACATATTAAGCCTGAATGAATTATTCTAGGGAAATATGGGTTTGACCTCAAAAATCTGAAGTAACTAAACCACTTTTGCTGCTTTTATCAGTTTAGCTTAATGCTAACTGCATGAAAATAAAATTATTAGCACAAATTTTGAAATATTTCATGAATGCTAAAACATCATTGCATTTGTTCACAGTACTTAGAAGGTGTGTCCTGGAGTGTGTTTGCTTTCATCTCAGGATATAGTGCCTCTTCAGCCTGATGTTCTATAAGTCATTTTCTCCTTTAAATACCTGTAATTAATTTTCTAGGCCCATAGTCTCTGGTAAGGAACTCTTAGGATATTAATTGTAAACTTATATATGCACAAAAAGAAACTTAAGATTCCTCATTCATGTAGGTAGTTTCTGGACTCTCCTCTGGTGCTTTTACCTCTTTAGGAGATGGGATAATTCTCATTATACAGAATCATAAGGTGCCTCAATTTTCAAAATAATGTTTGTCTTGTACAATAGCATTTCAAAGTCTGACAGTTAAGAATATCAGAATTTTGGCATTGAACAGCTTGATTTTTCATTGACTCTTATACATTACCAAGAAAAATTAGAATTTAGAGAATTTATACTTTTGACATTTTTGAAGCTGTAGTAGTTCTATCCAGAATTTAATATAGCACTAAGGAAAACTTTGTCTTGTAGTTTTCTCTTAAAAATCATTCTAAGAGTTTTAAGTTTGGACAAACTAATACATTTACATTTATCCGACAAACAGTTACTTGACCAGTCATTCTCCTTTTGTTTTTGCAGCTGAGAATATTAAAATTTAATTTTAACACCAAAGTGAGGTACTGATCAAATCGCTTTAGCCCAGGGGTTTGAGGCTGCAGTGAGCCATGATCATACCACTTTACTCCTGCCTGGGCTACAAAGTGAGACCCTGTCTCTTAAAAAAAGAATAAACAAGAAAAACGGAAGTTCATTATATTTGTCAGATAGTACATATGAGGTCTTACAAGTTTTACCCATTTGCTCCTCTCTCCCCCCTTTTGGAACAATGTCTTAGTATAGTTTTAAAATTTTAGTTTGAATTATTTCAGAAATGTTGCACGAATAGGACAAGGAATTTCATATATCCATCTAGATTTTCCAAATACTGTTTTACCATATTTGCTTTATTCTTTTTTTCTGAACTCTTTGACAATAAGTTTTAGACATGACATTCTTTTTACCTTTTTAAAATACTTCACTATATATTTCTTTAAAACACAGATGTTAATATATAACTAGTCCAGTTACCAAAATTAGGAAATTAACATTGATACAATACTGTTAGCTGCTCTGTAGCCTTTATTGAATTTTACCGGTTAGTCCACTAATGTTCTTTATAACAAAAGGGAAAATTATTTTTTTTAATATGGACAAAATGGGAAATATGTAATTCATAAACATATAGAAGACACACTTACTTTGCATAACAACACTAGCTTCAGGAACTCCTTTGGAGTGGGAAAACATTTTACAGGTTATCTAGGCCAGCTCCTCATTTTTATGAATAAGGAGTAAGTGAGGAATCCTAAAAGTCCTTAAAAGGCTCAAGAGTTTTATATTAACGTAGTGGCAGTGCGAGAGTAAGAACTTGCAGTCTGATTTCTTCACAATTGTAAACAATTGTATTATATATGCATACTGTATATTTTGTAGTTATAAGAATGGAAGAAAAACACCAGAATTTAAAATGCAGTCACAATTTGTTTTGTTTTCAGATGACTTGCATGTTTTTGTTTATCAGTATTTTAAAAAACAATCACCTGTTTGTGAAAATATGGTTTTGAAAACAGCATTCTATGTTGAGAGGGTACTTCATAATTTTATGAGAATGTAAATGGTGACTACAGGGAGCTCATACAGGTGTTAACATCACCCCTCTTTTGTACAGTCCTTTTAAGTCTCCTGTTAAACATCTTTTATTGTGTGTATTTAAAGGCACACAGATGCTTTTTCCTGTATTCATCTTACCAATTTACCTAAATATTTAGCTTAGCCATCCTTATTTCTCTTCCACATTTCTTGGGAAGCAATGTCTCTTCACCTGTTTAATCTGTCCCCCTTTGTTCTGGAAGCCCATGTTCTTTCCTCTCCTCAGAAAGACATTGCTTTATCATTAATTCCATCAATCTCTGTGTCTCCAGTTTCTTCACCTCTTCTAACCTATTTTCCTTAGCCTAAAAATATGCTCATTGTTATTCTTTTATACAGGAAGAATGCCTTCACTCTTGTTATTCTATACAATTGTTGCGTTATTCTTTATTCATGTTTTTTGCCTCCGCATATGTTAGCCCCACATCTTTCTGCGTCGATGACCTCCATATCTGTCTGAGTCTTCACCTCTTTGTCATAGATATCACCACCTAGAACCCAGCATGGATCCCTAACTCACCCTATCTCAACCTGAACCCATTAGCTTTCTTGTGAAACTGTTGTTTGTTACCTGCAGCATGCAATAAGTGGAAAAGTCCTGTTGATTTTTGCTGCTGTTTGAATATGTTTTTCTGTAGTCCCGAAGACACTACCTCCATCAGAACATCATCACATCTCACCTGCATGTCTGTAATTCCTGCCTCCTATCTTACCTCCAACTCATTTTCTACATTTCCTCCAGAATGGTCTGTGTAAAACAACAGATCTTTCAACAGTTTTATTAGCTTCTACATGATTTCCTCTAGTCCAGGATGAACTCCGGAGGTCTGCTGGTCTGAAATACAGTGGTTCCTGTGATGTCTTTCATCCTTGTCATCCATCATTTCCTCATTGCTGATTCCTGAATGTGTCACACCTGGTCAGCTACTCAGGCCTTTGCATGTACTGTTTCTCCTTTGGATGCTTTCTTCTTCCCCTTAGCTTCATAAACATGTATTGGTTCTTCTGAGCACAACTCATGTCATTTCCTTAAAGGTCTTTTTTTTTTGTCCATGTAAAGCACCTCTTGAGTGTCCACTTAAAGGCCTTTTAATCTTCACTCCCATTTCCTCCTGTGTTCAGTCTGCATGCATCTGTGCTTACTGCCCTGTCTAGCAGTGATTGGCTGATATATGTTCATTTTTTTCTTTTTGCCTGTAATTGTAATCTCAAGAGCAAGAGCTACATCTCATTCACATTTGAATCCTTAATACTAATTTCGTTTCCTGGCTCTTAGTAGGTGCTCAATAAATACTTGTTAAATTTAATTGAATCAAATAATAACACAGTAGTACTTTAGATAATAGATGGTAGTAATCAGTGAACTTTAATGAATTTGTACCATCTGTGCTTAACCAAGTTGTGACCTTATTTTAGGAAAATCTTGGGGAATAGAGATGAATATTGTAGAAGAAACAAAAGTAATATTTACACTCAAGCAGATTTTAATATTTTTGTGAGATAGCAAATAAATATCATACTACTATCTTGAAAATTTTTCTTTTCATTTTTCTTTTATCATGTAAGCAAATAATCTTTGGGTCTTAGCTTTTCACTATGTCATTGGAGTAGAGTGACAATACAAATAATCCTAAACATCAAATAATATTGTTATGTATCTTAAAATGATTGTAGGATGCCTTTCTTTAGTTATTTATTTTTGAAATTAGCATGGTATTATAGAATCCCAGGATTCTTAAATGTTACCTTCTCTAACTAATATATATTGCTTGACTATTTAGACTTATACTTAACAGGTATTTACATCTTTGAACACAGAACAGCTGATGGAGAAAGCAGCATTATAAATAATACACGTAAATTCAATTTGTACAGATAATCTGTAATTTTTAATGTTTAAATTATCTAAATGCTATATGTAATATCTTTCATTAGTTTTTTTAAAGTAATTATCCTTTCATGTTATTTTTTTCCTACCAAATGAAACAATAAAAGGATCAGAGATCAAGAAGTCCCAGAGGATGTACAAGTCAGGCCAGAGGATATTCCTTCAAATTTAAGTGTTAGTAATTCCAGTGTCAAACTGGAAAACACGATGGAAGACCATGCTGCTGAGGCATCCGGGAAGCCTCCAGGTGAAATTAGTGTTCCAGTGGACAGCTCTTTACTTTGTACTTTGTCCTCAGAATCCCACCAGGAAGCAGCTAGTAATGAGAATAAAAAACCTGGTAACTGCAAATCTACGTTACGACCAGAGGTTGACACCAGTTCACAAGATTCAGCTTTCTTAGATCAGGAATTGTATAACTCCTTCCATTTCTGGAGGACTCCTCTTCCTGAAATAGATCTAGATATAGAGCTTGAACAGAACTCTGGGGGAAAACCCAGCCCAGAGGGACCAGAGGAAGCAGCTGAAGGCCCTGTGCTCAGTTCTCCAAACATCACCATGGCCACCAGAAAGGAACTGGAAGAAATGATAGAAAATCTAGAGCCCCACATTGATGATCCAGATGTTAAAGGTATGGAAGAATCAATCAAATTCTTTATTCTAAAATTGATTAAAAGTATAGTGTCTGATTTTAAAATTTCATTTTAGAAAAAATTGCCATTTAATATTGTATTATGAACTGGGCATAGTGGCTCACACCTATATAATACCAGCATCTTGAGAGGTTGAGGCAGGAGGATCACTTGAGACCAGGAGTTCAAGACCAGAATGGGCAACATAGTAAGACCCCATCTCTACAAAAAAATAAAAGATTAGCTAGGCATGGTGGCACATGGCTGTAGTCCCAATAACTTGGGAAGCTGAGGTGGGAGATCATTTAGAAGGTTGGGGCTGCACTGAGCCATGATTGTGCAGCCTCGACTTCGTAAGCTCAAATGGTGCCAAAGGATCATCAGCAGATTGCTCTGATAGTTTTCCAACCTGGGCAACAGAATGAGACCATGTCTTTCTTCATTAAAAAAAAAGAAAAAGGTAGTGTGACCATCATTATCATGTATTTCTAAATTCTCTCAATACATACAATTAATCTGATCTTCAGGAAATTTTTCATTTAAAATAGGCTCATCATTGCATTCCATACTGTAATTTATACAGATTTGTTGATTCATAAATCACTCTCTTTTGAAATTTTCAGTTACTCAAATAATGCTTTACAGTTTTAAAGATTAACTGCTCTGCCTTAACTGTTTTGCACAGAGACTCTATATCTTTTTGTAAGATAGCAGTAGACACAGTAATTCTTTTATAGAAAGACTATAGAATGTTCATATACCACTGCACTCCAGTCTGGGCGACAGCAAGACTTCATCTCTGGGGTGGGACTGGGAAAAGACTATAGAATGTTTACAGCAAGCATAGTCAACTGTTGATAAGTGTTTAATGTCTTTACAGCTTTCAGCTTTCTGTTTAAATGTTGTTATTTACCAACTTAAGTTTATTAAGTGTATCCAACTTCAGTGACTCCTCTTTTCTTTTTCTTTTTCTTTTTTTTTTTTTTTTTTGAGACAAAGTCTTACTCTGTCACCCAGGCTGAAGTACAGTGGCACGATCTTGACTCACCGCAGCCTCTGCCTCCTGGGTTTAAGCAATTCTTCTGCCTCAGCTTCCTGAGTAGCTAAGATTACAGGCACATGCCACTGTACTCTGTGAATTTTTGCATTTTTAGTAGATACGGGGTTTCACTATGTTGGCCAGTCTGGTCTTGAACTCCTGACCTCAGGTGATCCATCTACCTTGGCCTCCCAAAGTGCTGGGATTACAGGTGTGAACCCCTGTGCTCAGCCTGTTTTATTTTTCTTAAACAATATTTTTATGAAGAAAAAAGATTGACAATTGTCCTTAAGCTTGTTCTGGGAGTTCTCATTGTATTGTAATATCTGCTAGTTCTCTGACACATAGTCACTTAAATATTAATTGATATATTGAAAGAGCTGCTTTAAATTTTTGTCAGTAATTAAGTGAAAAAGAAATGTACATAGGTTGCTTTTTAAAAAGACCTACATGTACATACACACAAGTTTCTTGATATGACTTTGTGTTTTAGATGTCTAATATTCTTTATACTGTGAATATACTAGCTGCAGTTGAGAGACTTCAATACAAATAAGAGACATACCTTGGAGATATTGCTGGTTCAGTTCCAAGCCACTGCAGAAAAGCAAATATTGCAATAGTGTTATACAAATTTTCTGGTTTTCCAGTACATAAAATGTTATGTTTACAGCCTGGTTCAGTGGCTTGCATCTGTAATCCCAACTACCTGGGAGGCTGGGGCGGAAGGTTAGCTTGAGGCCAAGAGTTTGAGACCAGCTTGGGCAACATAGCAGGACTCCCATCTCTAAAAAGATTTTGTATAGTAGCTGTGCATGGTTGCACACACCTGTAGACCCAGCTACTCAAAAGACTGAGGTGGGAGAATTGAGCCTCAGAGTTTAAGGTTTCAGTAGCTGTGATCACACTACTAGACTCCAGCCTGGGTGATAGAGTAAGACACTGTCTCAGAATTTTATAAAAGTTGTGTTTATACTATACTGTAGTCTGTTAACTGTGTGATGGCATTTTGTCAAAAAAAAAAATGCACACGCCTTCATTGAAAAAATACTTTATTGCTAAAAAATGCTGATGATCATCTATACCTTAGACAAGTTGTAGTCTCATAGCTGGTGAGGGTTTTACTTCAGTGTTGATGGCTGCTGACTGGTTAGGGTAATAGTTGCTGAAGGCTAGGGTGGCTGTGGCAATTTCTGAAAATAAAAGTGTTGAAGTTTGCTGTGTCATTTGACTCTTCCTTTCATGAAAGATTTATCCATAGCTGGCAATGGTGTTTGTTGTCATATTACCTGCAGTAGATCTTCTTTAAAAATTAGAGTCAGTCTTCTCAAACACCACCACTGCTTTATCAATAGGTTTATGTAATATTCTAAATCTTTTGTTGTCATTTCAACAATGTTCACGCCATCACCACTAGGAGGAGATTCTGTCTCAAGAAACCACTTTCTTTGCTCATCCTAAGAGGCATCTGTTCAAGTTTGATCAGGAGAGCCAGATATAGTGACCATGTGCGTGTAATCCCAGCTGAGGACAGGAGGATTGCTTGAGACTAGGAGTTCAGAGTTGTAGTGGTTATGATTGTGCCTATGAATGGCCACTGTGCTTTAGCCTGGGCAACATAACAAGACACTGTCTCTAAAATTAAAACAACAAAAAACATTTGATTATAAGATTGTAGCATTTCAGTCACATTTTCAAGCTCCACTCCTAGTTTTAGTTTTCTTGCTATTTTTACCTTATCTACAGTTATTTCCTCTACTGAGGTCTTGAACCCTTCAAAGTAATTTATTAGGGATGAAATTACCTTCTTCCATACTCATTTTAATGTTGGTATTTTGACCTCTTCTCATGAATCGTGAATGTTCCTAATGGCGTCTAGAATGGTGAATCCTTTCCAGATAGTTTTAAGTTTACTTTGTCCAGATCCATCAGAGAAATCACTTAATTTATGGCAGCTGTAACTTTACAGAGTGTACTCCTGAAATAATAAGACTTGAAAGTTGAAATTATCCCTTGATCCTTGGGCTGTAGAATGGATATTGTGTTAGCAGACATGAAAACAACATTGTCTGCTTGTACGTCTCTGTCAGAGTGCTTGAGTGATCATGTGTATTGTCAGTGAGCAGTAATAATTTGAAAGGAATATTTTTCTAAGTAGTAGGTCTCAACAGTAGGCTTAAAATACTTGGGAAACCTTGCTGTAAACGGATCTGCTCTCATCCAGGCTTTACTTTTCCAGTGGTAGAGCACAGGCAGAGTAGATTTAGCTTAATTCTTCAGGGCCCCAGGATTTTTGGAATAGTAAATGAGCATTGGTTTTAACTTTTTTTTTGAGGCAGCGTCTCATTCTGTCACCCAGGTTGGAGTACAGTGGCACAATCTCAACTCACTGCAACCTCTGTCTCTCAGGTTCAAGTGATTCTCCTGCCTCAGCCTCCTAAGTAGCTAGGACTGCAGGTGTGTACCACCATACCTGGCTAATTTTTTTTTTTTTTAATATGATGGGGTTTCACCATTTTGGCTAGGCTGGTCTTGAACTCCTGACCTCAGGTGATCCACCCACCTCAGCCTCCCAAAGTACTGGGATTACAGGCATGAACCATCACTCCCAGCCTGGTTTTAACTTAAAGTCACCAGCAACATTAGTCCCTAACAAGAATCACCTTGGTCTTTGGAGCCTTGAAGCCAGGCATTGACTTCTCTCTAACTAGAAAAGTTCTAGACAGCATCTTCTTCCAATAAAAGAGTGTTTTATCTATGTTGAAAATCTGTTGTTTGGTGTTGCCACCTTAGCAGCTTTTAAGTGATCTTAGCTAGATCTTCTGAATAACTTGCTGCAGCTTTGCATAAGCACTTGCTGCTTCACCTTGCACTTTTATGTTACGGAGACAGCTTCATTCCTTAAACCTCATGAACCAACCTCTGCTAGCTTTCAGCTTTTCTTCTGCAGCTTCCTAAACTTTCTCAGCTTTTACAGAATTGAAGCCAGTTAGGGCCTTGCTCTGAGTTAGACTTTAGCTTAAGACAATGTTGTGGCTGGTTTGATTTCTATCCAGACCACTCAGACTTTCTGTGTATCAGCAATAAAGTTGTTGTTCTTTCTTATTATTTGTGTGTTCACTGGAGTAGCATTTTTAATGTCCTTTAAGAACTTTTCCATCTGCGTTTATAACTTGGCTAACTGGCGCAAATGGCCTAGCTTTGGGGCTTTCTTCGCTTTGAAATGCCTTTCTCACTAAGCTTAATTATTTCTAGTTTTGGGTTTAAAGTGAGAGACATGTTATACTTCCTTTCACTTGAATTTTTAAGAGATACTGTTGGGTCATTAATTGGCCTAATTTTAATATTGTTGAGTCTCAGGGAATAGGGAGGCCTAAAGAGACAGGACAGAGATGGGTAAAGAAAGTTGGTGGAGCTGTAAGAACACACATAACATTTAACATTTAAGTTTGCCATCTTGTATGGCTAGTTAGCAGCTCCGAAAACAATTACAATAGTAATATCAAAGATCACTGATTACAGCTCACCATAGCAAATATAATAATAATGAAAAAGATTGAAATAGTACAAGAATTACCAACATGCAATACAGAGGCACAGAGTAAACACATGCTGTTGGAAAAACAGCACCAGTAGATTTGTTCAATGTAGGCTTGCCACAGAACGTTAATTTATAAAAAGCATAGTATCAAGCTGGGCATGGTGGTGTGTGCCTATAGTCCCAACTACTCTGGAGGCCAAGGCAGGAAGATTGCTTGAGCCCAGGGATTCAGTGCTTCAGTGAGCTATGATCATGCCTTGTGAATAGCTTTCTGCAAGTAACTCCAACCTGGGCAAAATAGTGGGACCTCATCTCTTTAAAGAAAAAAAAAAAAGCAAAAGTACAGTATCTACAAAGTGCAATAAAACAAGGTATGCCTGCACTTTTCCAGTGAACAGAATGGATTGGAGATCACACACACACGCACCTACCCACCCACCCAAACATCATGCTCTTTATATGGGACCAAACATTTTAACCTTTCTTGTACAGTCTACTTTGAGTACTGTTTTGGTTTGACTTGGGAAACTTAAAACATCCCAAAAGTGGGTGGCTGAAGTGATTAAAATGGTTGGTAAAAATAGCAGCTGAAATTATGAAGGTAATGAAAATGTTGCACTACAACTTTTTGTGGGTGAATACGTTCAATTTCTTAAGTTAGCAAGTATAACCTAATAGACTAGAACCTCCTCCTGTATGTTTCTTGCATGTCTATTGTCAGGCACTTATATACTTAGATGAGAAATTTTATAAATGCTGCAGTATAATAATAGTTTATCTTAATAAAATTGTTGCTGATTGTTTTGTTTAAAATGTTTGAATTTAAAATGTTCACATTTTGAATATCCAAGTGAATTGTTACTTGGAATAAATGCTAAGCAATATTTTTTGCTAAATTCTTATTTGGGGAGCAGGAAGGATGCCTTATCTTAATTTTGAATCAGCTTTGTAAGGAAGATGCAGCTCAAAACATAGGCAATGTTAGTTGCCAGGTTTTTGAACCACTGTCTGGTAAGTTGTCCATTTGGTTTGCTGCAAGCAAGACAGTGCTCATTTGGAATTGCTGTGTTTGGGAGAAGATAATAACTTTAATTTTCAAAAAGAATTAGAGAAAAATAAACAGTAATAAGATGAGATATTTAAATGTAACTGTGACAAGAATCTTTGTAATTACCATTGTTTTATATTGGCAGGGTTTGTGTGACTGCTCTTCTGCTAAAGTAGCTTAGTAAGTAAGCCTTGTCAGTTTGATTCATGCACTACCAAAACCTAGTTAACTTTTACTGAAATTGACTCCTTTTAATAAGCTGGAGGCAGCTCCAGCAACTAGATAGCATTTCTCTTTTCATACTAACGCAGAATAATGTACAGTAGCAGATAAACATTTTTAATCTCATGAAAGCATTAGTTTTCTACTTTTTCTCTTGAAAAACTAATGATTTACCACAGTAGAAATTTTTTCCAGCTTTTTGATGGCAGTGTCAAGAAAGTATGTATTTCATTGATAACGTACAATGCAAATGGACAAAAGCCTTGTAAGAATACTGCAGTTGTGTTTCTCACTTTGTCCATTTCCTTATTTTGCCTGTAGCACAAGTGGAAGTGCTGTCTGCTGCACTACGTGCTTCCAGCCTGGATGCGCATGAAGAGACCATCAGTATAGAAAAGAGAAGTGATTTGCAAGATGAACTGGGTATAAATGAGCTACCAAATTGTAAAATAAGTCAAGATGATTCTGTGCCTTTAATCAGCGATACTGTTGAGGTAACAAACTCAGTAAAGTGTTTACCAAGTGAGAGTAGTTTGAATCAGAAGTCTATTCATTGGGGAATAGTTTTAGCTAATCACTTTTAGTTTGTATGTTCTGTTTGTTGCTGATTTTTTAGCGCTTCCTTGTTTTCATCACATCCTGTCCTTGTGACATTAGTGTCATATGAAATGCCTAGAAAAGTAAATCCCACTCCTGTCTATATGACCATTTGGTAGACTCAATGTTAATGTAGCTCACTGCAGTGAAATAGTCTTACTGGAAACAAAGCCCTTTATCAAGAATAATTAACTCTTCCCTTTTCTTTTTGGAGAGGTGCTTTGTTTCTGATCGGACCATTTCACTGCAGCAAGCAACACAATATTCTGAGCAGAAGATCGGGACTTGAGGCCATGTTGCGGAGGGCCAGTGACATTATCTGGACTCTGGAGTGTGAGGGTGGGTACTGATCCTAGCATCATCTTCACTGTGTACTTGTAGCTGTTCTCTATGATCCTTCCCTAATTTCCTGCTGCATCTCAATCAAGCCAGCATTATTTGGTAACAGTGCTACTTAGCCCTTGTTTTTATAAATGGGGAGAAGGAATACCCCACCACTTGCCAGAATCGCATGGTCACGGATCTGGCTTGAATGAGAAGCTCAGGAAAGAGTGCCTGCACACACACTGGGGATGGCAAGAGGGTTCTTAGAACATTAGTGCGTTTCTGTTTTGATTTCTGTTAGATGGCATGTGGTATAGTTAGAAATCTGTATAATACCACTGCCTTGGATTGAAACCCTGACCATTTATTGGACATTTGAATAGCATTAATATGTCTGCATCTTAGAAGGTTTTTATGTTGTTGTTGTTGTTGCTGTTTTTGGCTGTTAACATATATATAATTTGTGAAATTAGATATTAACAGCCAAGAATAGAGATAGAAGAAAAACTGCATGTGACACTCCATGATCTCTAGAACAATGGACCAAAAGAATCCTCCCAGTACTTATAAATAAGCCAATTTGAGCTATTTGGACTATTTCAAAATTACTTTGAAATATTGTTTTTAATTACTCTCGTTTTTCTGGAATTGGTTTTCATACATTTGGCAACCTATTCATTAAGTTAGATTTAAAGCAGGGAAAGTTCTTAGGTATGTTTATAAGGTTTAAAAACATGAGGAATTTATATGTGTTATTGCTTATGGCAGTCTTGAGAGGTAAGTAACTTAGATAGCTAAAATGAAGATGTACAGACAGGACAGCTCTTTAAGTAGTTATTTTTTCTTAACAGAATATGGACTCCACTCTTCACTATATTCACAACGATTCAGACTTGAGCAACAGTAGCAGCTTTAGCCCTGATGAGGAAAGGAGAACTAAAGTACAAGTAAGTGACCAAAAAAATGTGTTCTTTTGTGTGTCTGTTCCTAATTCCTCTTTTAGAGCCCATTTCTGACCTAATTTGACCTTTCTTTATGATGAATGTTTAAAAAATTATGACTAGTATGTCATATTTTCCATTGAAATAGTAGAGGAACATGTAAGCACAAATCTTCCGTTTCCTACCCCTGTGATCCCATTCTTCCTTCAGAGTGACCATGATCACACACCCTGCTATCTTCCTTCATGTATCTTCATGGGCACATAAATGTACACATGTGCCCCTTTTTGTTATTCAAGACAACTGTGGTCATCCCATCCTACCTAGGTATGTCCTCATGTTCACGTTGCCAATAATTATAAAATACATCTTGATTTCAGAGATGAAAATATAAAAAAAAGGCTTTAAAGCCATTTTAAAGTGCCGTCAGTAACAAGCTGCAGGGAAACTGTGCTCATGGAATCATTGGAATGTGATAGCTGTGCCTTGCCTTGCTCTTTTCTTTTCTCTTCTAACAATGTGACCTGGTGATCTCTCCTGTAAGCACACAGGACTCCCTCACCTTCACAGCAGCACAACACAGTGTTAACGCCACACCTGTTGTCTCCCTCGTATGAAACCATGGGAGATGCTACCTGTTGTAGTTTCACTTTGATGCTATAAGTAGTGCTACATTCACTATGACTGCCTATACTTGTTGTTTGCTTCTAGGACTTTATTATTATTTGAGATGGAGTCTCCCTCTGTCACCCAGGCTGGAGTGCCATGGCGCCATCTCGGCTCACTGCACCCTCCACCTCCTGAATTCAAGCAGTTCTCCTGCCGTAGCCCCCCAAGTACCTGGGACTACAGTCACAAGCCACCCTGCCCAGCTAATTTTTTGTATTTTTAGTAGAAATGGGATTTCGCCATTGGCCAGGCTGTCACGAACTCCTGACCTCAAGTGATCCACCTGCCTTGGCCTCCCAAAGTGCTGTGATTACAGGTGTGAGCCACCACACCTGGCCTGGACTATATTATTATTGTTAGAAGTAGATTTCTCAGGTCAAATGGTATATTTTGTTGTTGTTATTTTTAGAGATGGGGTTTCAGCTCCCTCTGCAGTTTCAGCATCATAGCTCACTGCAGCCTGGAACTCCTGGACTCAAGCAATCGATCTTCTGCCTCAGCTCCCCAATTAGCTGGGACTATAGATGCGCACCACCACATCTAGCCAATTTTTATTGTATTTATTAAAAATGAAATTAATATTCAAAACATAGTGTTTTGAAACATGTTTCTTCCCCCACTTATAGACATATTTTCAGTATTTCAAATCATTATTTTAATGAGTTTATTTCCATTTTCATTTTGTGTATATGGGTAATTAGTTTATGTAGTTCAAAATTCAAGATACTTAAAAGGCATTCAGGGATGTTTCCTTCTCAGTTTTTCTTCTCCACTCATCCATTTTGCTTCCTGAGATACAGCCAGTTTTACCTTTATGTCCTTCCATAGCTATATTATACACACCTAGACAAGATTGCAAATGTGTTCTTCTTTTCTTCACATATATACAAATTGATTAAACATGTGCTCTTCAATTTTGTATAAAAAAATTTTTTTAAATTTTTATCTAAAGAAGCCATGTTTTTAATTTTTGTTTTGAGGCAGAGTCTCACGCTGTCACCCAGTTTGGAGTACAGTGGTACTATCATGGCTCACTGCAGCTTCTACCTCCCTGGGCTCAAGTCATCATCTCACCTCAGCCTCCTGAGTAGCTGGAAGTAGAGGTGTGAGCCACCATGCCTGGCTAACTTTAATTTTTTAGTAGAGACAGGGTCTCACCATGTTGCCCAAGCTGGGCTCAGGTGATCCACTCTCCTTGGCTTCTCAAAGTGCTGGAATTACCGGCATGAGCCACTGTGCCGGGCTGTTTTTTTTTAATGAACATGTTGTAAATTGTGCAGAGCACCTGTTATACTGCATTTGCTGGGTTACAACAAACATTATCATTTCTGCCTACATTTAAAGGTGCTGGTGTTATTTTAATATGTCTTTTTAATTTAGTAATTAATTCTAACTGTCCTTTGAGCTGTTTTCTGTTTTAAGATGTTATCCATTGTTTTCCTCGAGTTGCTTTTATTTGTTCGTATATGTTTCCCTTAACATGGTTTTCATATCTCTTAGTTTATTAGATACCAGAAAATTTGGCATTGGTTTTTCCCATTTGAGATGCTATGTTAAAATCTATATATTTAAAATAGTTTTGCTCAATTTATGTCTAAACTCAAAATGCATCTCAGCTGCTCAGTCACTATAGTTTCTCTTTCTCCATTAGGATGTTGTACCTCAGGCTTTGTTAGATCAGTATTTATCTATGACTGACCCTTCTCGTGCACAGACAGTTGACACTGAAATTGCTAAACACTGTGCATATAGCCTCCCCGGTGTGGCTCTAACACTCGGCAGACAGAATTGGCACTGTCTGAGAGAGACATACGAGACTCTGGCCTCAGACATGCAGGTGAGTAAAGCAGTTAAAGAATTAGCAGAACATGCATGTGGAAAGCACAGTGCTTTGCTTGTCGTAACCGAAAGAATTTGTGTTTGTGTTCTAGCATGTACTTAATGTTATAGGAAATTATGTATGGAAGAGCTTAAGAGTAATAACGGAGTATGTTCTTTTTTGCACTGTCAGAGCCCCACAATTTGGCTTCTTCATTTTTATCTAAAGCATTAGAAATTGTTATCACATTCAACATGCTTAAGTTTCTAACTTAAAATGTGTTATTATCTAGAGTTTATCTGCAGATTAATTGTTGATAATGTAGGATTTAATTTTTCACATAGAAATAGTATTATAAAGGCTTATTTGATTTTCACACTAGATCTCAAAATAGTTATTTAAACTGTAATAGAACTGTAGTGTTATTAGCAAGTATGAAGTTCTGGGCCCTTCGTGCCATGCGCATTGTAGTGCAGATGGAATAATGTCCGTGGTTATTGCTTTCTCCTTGTCCACACACACCACCCTCACCCCCACCCACTTTTGACAGACACAAATTAAACCCTTGCCTCAGGTCATTTTGTCTGGAACTTTGTGACTTTTGTGTGGTACCTCTTCCTAAGCTTGGTGACCTAACCTCCCCTGCTAGGGCTGATTTCTGTGTAACAAAGTTTGCACCTCTTTGAACACACCCATTCTTTCAGTGAAGTTGATTTCTCAGTTATTAAAAAAAAAAAGGAATCTGATAGGCTAATTTGTACTGATATGTCATGACTTTTCCTTAAACTTCTTAGTAATTACTGTAAGGAATCAATGCCATTGACTCAGCAAGTTAGAAGTTGCAAGTAATCTTGATAGGTCATGTTCCTCCTTTGACCTATGAGGATAGGAAAGCTGGGCCCAGGAGAGGTGAATTTATCTGTGTTCACACGCTTCTTAAGTGCTGCATCTGGGCATGGAACCACAAAGGCCTAATTTCCATAGAGTGCTTTGTCCTGTGTATTCGTGTTTTCAGTCTTTATTCCACAGAACTGTAGGGTTCCCATGGGTTAAATCTCTTTGGGCACCTGGGTGACTGATGGCTCAGAGTCTGGAAGGACAGTTTCCTCTCTTTGCTGCCCCTCTCTTCCATCAGAACATCTCTGCCTTCATCTGTTTTATATGTTTAACTAGGGTGTAAAATGTTATTTCAAGAGTGGCTTTTGAGGGGAAGGGAAAGGAAATAAAATGTTTGCTCTGAACTGTTTCTCTTCAGGTAAAGTTTTAAGTTACTGTATAAAAATTTTACAATTAAATGTTATTGTTCTGTTTTGTTTTTCCTAATTCAGGGTTTGGCTGTACAGGAATCTGAAGGGGAACACTGGGGAGGGTACTAGAGAGGCTTTGGTCCATGTGCAGCCTCAGCACATCAGGGGTCCGATGCTCAGAGAACTACAAAAACTATATTCTTAATGATTTCTAAGCATTTTTTTCTTCATAAATGAAAGGACAATATTACATACTATGCAGGGATTTAAGCATTTTCTGTTAAACTTTTTTTGATACATAATTTAGTCATGAATACATAAATATATAATTTACATAATTTAAAATTAGTATATTTTATTACTATTCTGATTTAATTTTTGAGATTAGTAACATTCATATATAAATTAGCCTTCATATATTGCCTAAAGTTTAAAGTACTGAGCACTTTGCATTTAGCTTAGTAATGTGTTTTCATTTCTGCAGTGGAAAGTTCGACGAACTCTAGCATTCTCCATCCACGAGCTTGCAGTTATTCTCGGAGATCAGTTGACAGCTGCAGATCTGGTTCCAATTTTTAATGGATTTTTAAAAGACCTCGATGAAGTCAGGATAGGTGTCCTTAAACACTTGCATGATTTTCTGAAGGTAATTTTAAAATTCTTTTTCATAAATATGCAACAAAATTCTGCTGTAAATCTAAGTCTTATCTTTTGTCACCAAGAGAGGTTCTTGTGTGTTCCTGTGAAAGAAAATATAGCTATAAGCTGATGTCAAGATGTGACTTAAAAAAGAAATAGTCCTATAATTACACTTTCACTTTTAAACAGTATTAGATGATAGTTTACAGACATTTGTACCTTTGTTAGTTTTCAAAATTATCGAATAATGAAATATATGTTAAAAAAATATCATGAACTGTTGTCATCCCTCAGTATATGCAGGGGGATTGGTTCCAGGACCCCCAGGCATACCCAAATCCATGCAATACTCCATTCCTAGGGAACCCACATATAGAAAAAATCTGCCGTCTGTGTACTCATGTTTTGCATCCAGGAATACTGTATTTTCAATCTTCATTTGGTTGGGAAAAAAATTCAAGCATAAGTGGACCCATGCAGTTGAAACCCGTGTTGTTGAAGGTCAACTGTGTATTAAGTTTGGAGACTTTATGTGGTATTTCAGGAGTCTGAGAGTTTACCTTTAGCGCTCACTCCTTTTGTATGGGAGCTCTGGTCTCCAAAGTGAATAGCCCTGATTTTTTACAAGTTGTTTAATCCTGAAGTACTGTTGGTTGTTTTTTAGACTTTAGCCTTGAAATTGACTCTAATAATTCTAAGGCTTGACAGAAATAATTGTAGTCCTCCCTTTTAAAAACATTGAGGCCGGGTGCAGTGGTGTTAGCTGGGCACGGTGGCTCACGCTTGTAATACCAGCACTTTGGGAGGCTGAGGCAAGTGGATCACGAGGTCAGGAGATTAAGACCATCCTGGCCAACATGGGTAAACTCCGTCTCTACTAAAAATGCAAAAAAATTTAGCTGGGTGTGGTGGTACATGCCTGTAATCCCAGCTACTTGGGAGGCTGAGGCACGAGAATTGCTTGAACTCAGGAGGTGATAGTTGCAGTGAGCTGAGATTGCACTTCTGCACTCCAGCCTGGCAACAGAGCAACACTCCATCTCAAAAAAAAAAAAAAAAATCTGGGTGTCACTGGCATTTTTGAGGAGTCCAAACCAGTGGTTTTACAGAATTACCCTCAATTTGAATTTACACACTTTGATTCTGGGTAAACAGGGGTTTTTGTTTTTTGGGTTTTTTTGGCAGACATGTTAACCTGTGTAGGTTGCCATCTGTTTTTCTGAATGTATTACATCAGGGCTAGTGTGGTGTTGGCTCTTCCCATCATTGGTGACAAGAAGGCTGACAACTCCATTATAAAATGACCTTTGACCTTTTGTGGTTAATAGAGAATTGGTGAGGAGATACTTTCTAACTCTGAATATCTTTTTCTACATAGTCCTTCACCAATGTTTTCATATCCAGGCATCTGTACATGGTTTTTGCCTGAATGAGTTGTTAACTGTGTTGGTTGTGAAAGAGTGATTTTCTATTTTCATGATACTATTTTTAAAAATTATTTACCTTTTTTTTTTTTTTTTTTTTTTTTTGAGACAGAGTCTCACTTTGTCGCCAGGCACCAGGCTGGAGTGCAGTGGCACAATCTTGGCTCACTGCAACCTCTGCCTCCCGGGTTCAGGCAATTCTCTTGCCTCAGCCTCTCGAGTAGCTGGGACTACAGGCGCACGCCACCATGCCCAGCTAATTTTTGTATTTTTAGTAGAGACAGGGTTTCACCATGTTGGCCAGGATGGTCTCGATCTCTTGACCTTGTGATCCGCCCGCCTCAGCCTCCCAAAGTGCTGGGATTACAGACTTGAGCCACCGCGCCCGGCCAATTATTTACTTATTTTGAGACAGGGTCTCTATTGCCCAGGCTGGAGTGTAGTGGTGCAATCATGGCTTACTGCAGCCTCCACCTCTCCCAGCTCAGATGATCCTCCTACCTCAGCCTCCTGTATAGCTGGAACCACAGGCATGCCACCACACCCAGCTGAGTTTTGTATTTCTTGTAGAAGCAGGGTTTCACTATGTTGCCCACCCTGGTCTTGAACTCCTGGGCTCAAGTGATGAACTCCTGGGCTCAAGTGATATGCCCCACCTTAGTCACCCAAGGTGCTGGGATTACAGATGTTAGCCACCATACTTGGCCATTCCTTCTGTTTTTATTAAGTAACATTCCCTGTTAAAATAAGCTGTCTTCTCTCCCTCCCCTCTTTCGAAAGTTGTTTTAGCGTGGACTGTGGGATTTTAAAAATTCAACATAATGGAATTTATTTCTCTAAATTGTTTTGAGCATCAAATTTGATTAGTGGGGACTCCTTAAAGCTGCCTCTTGTGTCCTTTGATTTGTCCTTTTATTTTTAAACACATCAGTACTTTCAGTCCCAACTTTCCCTTTCCCTGTCCCAGCCTGGAGTCAGCTATTTCTCCAAGGAACTGTGGCCTTTTTTTAGTGGAGAATGGTCCTTAGAAACTGAGATTCATTTCCTTGCTCAGAGCTCTAAACAAAAAAAAAAAGAAACTGAGATCCAGGCACTGGAAGTGCTCAGCGCTCCTGGGCTGTCATTTCTTTTAGGCCTTTTCAGGAGCTAGGAGGTATGTTTCTTTTTTTTCTTTTTTTTACTAACTTCGTATTGTTATGAACTACATCCAGTTCAACACTGTTTCCTCTCTTTCCTTCATATTATATATATTTTTCTGTTTACTTGTGGTAAAAAGTCGGTTCTTCACAAAGTTAATGTATTATATGTAGTTATTTGCTCAGTTCTAAACATAAATGAAAGAGTTTCAGAATTACTCCACCAATAATAATTATGACATCAGATCAACTACATAATAGTCAGAATTGCCTAAGTCCTTAGAACATCCCGTGAAGAGGTATGGTTAGAGTACTCAGTTCATGCTTTGGCTTTTTTCCCTGTTGATTGTTTTTGATTTGATGTACAGTTAGGTTGATTTGTTTGCATTTATAAACTTACCTTTCAATATTTGTAGAGCAGCTATTGGAATACATTTCTTTATTTTTTTTCTCTCAACAAGTACTGAGTGCCTACTCTGCTGTCGCAGTGCCATACACGGGGCGTACATGTGTGCTTAAGAGCATAACCACTGCCTTAAGCGGGGCCATGGCAGCAAGGATGTCATATGAATAAAGGGGGCGAGTCCTGCAATCAGGCTGTGCCCATGGTACTGTGGAATTTCATGTGGCTCACTGATTGGCACAAGGAACAAAGATTTCCAGACAAAATGATGATTCCTGAAGGCAAATGGAATTATTCAGGGAAAAACAAACTTAATACCAAATTTCAAAACAAATACAGCTACTACATTTTCTCTTCAGAATAATTAACCATATTATTTACAGTCTGTTTTCAAGCACTCTAACAAAAGAAATAATGTCTGTACCTTGTCCCTGTAAATATTTTATTTTGTTACTTTAGCTTCTTCATATTGACAAAAGAAGAGAATATCTGTATCAACTTCAGGAGTTTTTGGTGACAGATAATAGTAGAAATTGGCGCTTTCGAGCTGAACTGGCTGAGTAAGTTCTAACCATTTATTAGATTCTGTTTTGGAGGGGCGTATATTTACTTCATTTTTACCTTTCCTCAGTTCCTTCATTACTTTGTGTAGATTCAGGTTTCTGTGTGGTATTCTAGCCCTTTAACACTTCCTGTAGTACATGTCTTACTGGCAATGAATTTCTTCAGCTTTTTTTTTTTCTTGAAAATGTCTTTAGTTTATCTTTATACTATTTTTATGGTGAAATACACATAGCCAAATTTGCTGTTGATGACATTTAGAACTTTCACAGTGTTGTGCAACTATTTCCACTATCTACTTCTAAAATGTTAATCCTCCTAAAAAGGAAAACCCATGCCCAATAAGCATCTACCATCTGTGGATTTGCCGGTTTTGGACATTTCACGCAGTTAGAATCATATAACATTTGGCCTTTTGTGCTTGGTTTCTTCATTTAACAGTGTTTTCAGTGGTCCTCCATGTTGTAGCCTCTAGCTGAACTTGCCTTCCTTTTTGTGGTTCAGTAATATTCCACTCTGTGGATATACCATATTTGTTTAATGCATTGCATCTGTTGAGGAACATTTAGGTTGGGTGTGTGGTCTTTTGTGAATAGTGCTAGTAGGAACATTATGTACAAGCTTTAATATTTGAAATCATTTTCAGGTCTTTTGAGGTGGATTTGCAAGACCATATGGTAATTCTGTGTATAATTTCTTGAGGAACTGCCAAACTTTTCCACGCAGCTGTATCATTTTACATTCCCATCAGTAATGTATAGGAGTTCCCATTTTCTTTTTTTTTTTGAGACGGAGTTTCGCTCTTGTTACCCAGGCTGGAGTGCAATGGCGCGATCTCGGCTCACTACAACCTCTGCCTCCTGGGTTCAGGCAATTCTCCTGCCTCAGCCTCCTGAGTAGCTGGGATTACAGGCACATGCCACCATGCCCAGCTAATTTTTTGTATTTTTAGTAGAGACGGGGTTTCACCATGTTGACCAGGATGGTCTTGATCTCTCGACCTCGTGATCCACCCGCCTCGGCCTCCCAAAGTGCTGGGATTACAGGCTTGAGCCACCGCGCCCGGCCAGGAGTTCCCATTTTCTACATCCTTCCTAACACCTATTTTCCTGTTACATTTTAAAAATATTTTAATTGACCAAATAATAATTGTGCATATTTACGAGGTACATAATGATGTTGCATACATATCAGATAGTGGTCAGATAAGGGCAGTTATGTTCTGCTGGGTGTGGAACAGCACCTCATTATGGTGTGATTTGCATTTCTCTAATGACTGATGATGTTGAACACTTTTTCATAAGCCTGTCAATCATTTGTATATATTTTGTGGAGAAATGTCTATTCAAGTCTGCCGCTAATTTTTAAATTGGGTTGTTTATCTTGGGTTGTTGAGTTGTAAGAGTTCTTTATATCGTTTGGATTATAGACCTCACCTGCATTTTCAAATGACGTCTTTGCTGAGTATCGAATGTGGGCTAACAGTTTGTCTTTCAGTATAAAGATGCCACTCCACTGAGTTCTGGCTTGCCCACTTCTGACTTGAAATGCACACCTCCCCTTCTGCCATGTAATAAAGGGGTGCGAGTCCATCTAGTCAGGATGAAGCTGGATTTGTGTTTTGTCATTGTTGTAGTTACCTTCAGTGTACTTTGGGCTTCAGTTTTTCTCACTGGGCTGCCACTACTATTGCCATTTGCTGCAGGTAGGAGCTAGGGTACCAGTGGGCTTCTAGTGTGGGTATTCTACCCAGCATTCAGCTGTCCCTTGACCCCTGTATAATGGGTAGGACCTCCTATCTGTGACTCCCTGCAGCTTCTCTTGGAATAAGGAGCATAGTTCTCTCCCCAGCTGCAGTGTCTTTGCTGGGCCCATGGGTTGGACAGGCTTAAGAGCCTCCACCAGCAGCTTAAGCCTTTTGTTTTGCATGAGAAAAAGACTCAGCAGAGTGCCTGATGATTCATTGCTGTCCTGTCAGTCACTTCTGCCTGCTATGGTACATCTCTCCTGTTTCCAGGCTGGAGTGCAGTGGTGTGATCTCGGCTCACCACAACCTCCACCTCCTGGGTTCGAGTGATTCTCCTGCCTCAGCCTCCCAAGTAAGCTGGGACTACAGGCTTGTGCCACCACACCCAGCTAATTTTTGTATTTTTAGTAGAGATGGTATTTGACCTGGCCCTGGCTGTCTTTCTTGAAGCACCCATGAGAGGCAGGTACCCTGTGGAAGTTGGAAGGTTTGCCCAGGAATGTTAGCTCCCTGTGTCGGGCACATCTAGCTTTGTTTGAGCCACCTCACGCTCATGCCGACTCACATGCCATCCACCGCTATCTGGCCCTGGGTATCTGGCTACAATTCGAGTTGATTTCTCCCCACCCTGTTACGTGCCAGCAGGTGCCCTGACCATCTGGGCTCTGCTGAGGGGCAGTTCTCTTTACCCTCTTGAGAAGTTAGGTTATTTGGGTGCCTTGCAACCCACACTCTCTGATGAGCTCAAAAAAAGATCTTGGGGCCGGATGTGGTGGCTCACGCCTGTAATCTCGGCATTTTGGGAAGCCGAGGCGGGCAGATCACCAGGTCAAGGGATTGAAACCATCCTGGTCAACATGGTGAAGCGTTCTCTACTAAAAAATACAAAAATTAGCTGGGCATGGTGGCGCGTGCCTGTAATCCCAGCTACTTGGGAGGCTGAGGCAGGAGAATCGGTTGAACCCAAGAGGCAGAGGTTTCAGGAAGCTGTGATTGCGCCACTGCACTCCAGCCTGGTAACAGAGGGAGACTCCATCTCAAAAAAAAAAAAAAAAAAAAAGATCCTGAAGTTTATATAGCTTTTTCTACTGTAGGGTCATTCTTGGCAGTTTTCTGCATTCTAAGCAGAAACTGATGTCCTGTTTGGAATTTTTATTTTGAACTTTGTCAGAAAAGAAGTGTGTCTCTTTGAGGATGTGTGTTTGTATACACAGGTGCATTTATCATTGCATAGTCTATATTCATGATATTCATGTTACAGTTGACATCTGCTTATTAGAAATGTAAATCATCTTGAACATAAAATCTGAAAGGCAGATGTTTCACATCCAAGATATTTCTTTAAGGGCACCGTTGAAGCTATTCAGGTTAGCCTGGTGAATGTCATGGAAATCTCAGGTCCCCTCAGATGTGATGAGAAAGTCACTGGAAGATGCCCTCCCTCTGATATCCCTAGCAACAGGTACACAGCAGGCTCCCTCCCTCTGCGGGGACTTCTTACTGAGAAACTGATTTATAGATGGAAGCTTCTCAGCACATTCCAAACTATGACCATGGATCAATGTGGGCCATGTTCCAGTTGAACATACTAGGAAATGCTTTGCTCTGTCTCAGTCCCCATGGACACAGAACTCTACAGCTTTTGTTTTCCTTACACTCTAAGGAACTTGAATAGCATGTAAGTGCATTTCCAGATACACAGAGACTAGAGGTAATTCTGTACAGGAGAAGTCTGCTTAATCGCTCCTCTTTGCATGTGTTTGAGACAAATGCTCAGTGTCCAGTATTAAACATTATTTAGATGAGTAAACTGTTTTCGTTTGTCTTGCTGATTTTTAAACGTTGTCTTTTTGTAATTCCTTTTTGTAGACAGCTGATTTTACTTCTAGAGTTATACAGTCCCAGAGATGTTTATGACTATTTACGTCCCATTGCTCTGAATCTGTGTGCAGACAAAGTTTCTTCTGTTCGTTGGATTTCCTACAAGTTGGTATGTATTGAACCTTTAAAATTTTAGATCAGCAAACTAAGATCCTAGAATGGAAGCTGTTCCTAACTTCTCCATGCTCACCCTCTCAGGTCAGCGAGATGGTGAAGAAGCTGCATGCAGCAACACCACCAACATTCGGAGTGGACCTCATCAATGAGCTTGTGGAGAACTTTGGCAGATGTCCCAAGTGGTCTGGTCGGCAAGCTTTTGTCTTTGTCTGCCAGGTAAGCAAGGCCCTAGGCTTACCTGTTTGTGAGTTTTTCTCCAAGAAGAATGTTTCTTCTTTAACTTCCTACCTCTCTCTCACCCTGTTCCTTATTCTTTTATGTATATATATTTTATTGCATTTTACATTCTGGGGTACATGTAAAGAACATGCAGGATTGTTGTATAGGTACATACATGGCAATGTGGTTTGCTGCCTCCATCCCCATCACCTTTATCTAGCATTTCTCCCCATGTTATCCCTCCCCAACTCCCTACCCCCAACTGTCCCTCCCCTAGTGCCCCAACAAGGACCTCAATGTGTGACACTGCCTTCCCTATGTCCATGTGTTCTCACTGTTCAACACCCACCTATGAGTGAGAACATGCGGTGTTTGATTTTCTATTCTTGTGTCAGTTTGCTGAGAATGATGATTTCCAGGTTCATCCATGTCCCTACAAAGGACACGAATTCATTGTTTTTTATGGTTCCATAGTATTCCATGTTGTATATGTGCCACATTTTCCCTGTCCAGTCTATCATCGATGGGCATTTGGGTTGGTCCAAGGCTTTGCTATTGTAAACAGTGCTGCAATGAACATATGTGTGCATGTGTCCTTATAATAGAACGATTTATAATCCTTTGGACATATACCCAGTAATGGCATTTCTGGGTCAAATGGAATTTCTAATTCAAGGTCTTTGAGGAATTGCCACACTGTCTTCCACAATGGTTGAATTAATTTACACTCCTACCAACAGTGTAAAAGTGTTGCTATTTCTCTCCATCCTCTCCCCATCCGTTGTCTCCAGATTTTTTAATGATTGCCTTTCTAACTGGTGTGAGATGGTATCTCAATGTGGTTTTGATTTGCATTTCTCTAATGACCAGTGATGATGAGCATTTTTTCATATGTTTGTTGGCCTTATATATGTCTTCTTTTGAAAAGTGTCTGTTCATATCCTTTGCCCACTTTTGAATGGGTTTGTTTGTTTTTTTTCTTGTAAATCCGTTTTAGTTCTTTGTAGATTCTGGATACAAGTCCTTTGTCAGATGGGTAGATTGCAAAATTTTTTCCCATTCTTTTGGTTGCCAGTTTACTCTAATGATTGTTTCTTTTGCTGTGCAGAAGCTCTGGAGTGTAATTACATCCCATTTGTCTATTTTGGCTTTTGTTGCCAATGCTTTTGGTGTTTTAGTCATGAAGTCCTTGCCTAAGCCTATGCCCTGAATGGTTTTGCCTAGATTTCCTTCTAAGGTTTTTATGGTGTTAGGTCTTATGTTTAAGTCTTTAATCCATCTGGAGTTAATTTTAGTGTAAGGTGTCAGGAAGGGGTCCAGTTTCTGCTTTCTGCACATGGCTAGCCAGTTTTCCCAACACTATTTATTAAACAGGGAATCCTTTCCCCATTGCTTGTTTTTGTCAGGTTTGTCAAAGATCAGATGGTTGTAGACATGTTGTGTTGCCTCCAAGGCCTCTGTTCTGTTCCATTGGTCTATATCTCTGTTTTGGTACCAATACCATGCTGTTTTGATTACTGTAGCCTTGTAGTATCATTTGAAGTCAGGAAGTGTGATGCCTCCAGCTTTGTACTTTCTGCTTAGAATTGACTTGTCTATGCGGGCTTTCTTTTAGTTTCATATGAAGTTTAAGGTGGTGTTTTCCAGTTCGGTGAAGAAGGTCATTGGTAGGTCATTGGTAGCTTGATGGTGATAGCATTGAATCTGTAAATTACTTTGGGTAGTATGGCCAAATTCACGATACTGATTCTTCCTAACCATGAGCATGGAATGTTTCTCCATCTGTTTGTGTCCTCTCTTATTTCATTGAGCAGTGGTTTGTAGTTCTCCTTGAAGAAGTCCTTTACATTCCTTGTTAGTTGTATTCCTATGTATTTTATTCTCTTTGTAGCAATTGTGAATGGCAGTTCATTCTTGATTTGGCTCTCTTTAAGTCTGTTATTGTTGTATAGGAATGCATGTGGTTTTTGCACATTGATTTTGTATCCTGAGACTTTGCTGAAGTTGCTTATCAGTTTCAGGAGATTTTGGGCTGAGACGATAGGGTCTTCTAGATATACAATCATGTCGTCTGCAAATAGAGACAGTTTGACTTCCTCCTTTCCTGTTTGAATACCCATTATTTCTTTTTCTTGCCTGATTGCTCTGGCTAGAACTTCCAATACTGTATTGAACAGGAGTGGTAAGAGAGGGCATCCTTGTATAGTGCCAGATTTCAAAGGGAATGCTTCCAGTTTTTGCCCATTCAGTATGATATTGGCTGTGCGTTTGTCATAAATAGGTTTTATTATTTTGAGATACGTTCTGTTAATACCTATTGACAGTTTTTAGCATAAAGGGCTGTTGAATTGTCGAAAGCCTTCTCTGTACCTATTGAGACAATCATGTGGTTTTTGTCTTTGGTTCTGTTTATGTGGTGAATTACATTTATAGACTTGGGTATATTGAACCAACCTTGCATCCCCGGGATGAAGCCTACTTGATCATGATGGATAAGCTTTTTGATGTCCTGTTGCAATTCATTTGCCAGTATTTTATTGAAGATTTTTGCATCTATGTTCATCATGGATATTGGCCTGAAGTTTTCTTTTCTTGTTGATTCTCTGCCGTGTTTTGGTATCAGGATGATGTTGGTCTCACAAAATGATTTGGGGGAGGATTACCTCTTTTCGGATTGTTTGGAATAGTTTCAGAAGGAGTGGTACCAGTTCTTCTTTGTATGTCTGGTAGAATTCAGCTGTGAACCCATCTGGACCTGGGTTTTTTTTTTGGTTGGTAAGCTATTAATTGCTGCCTCTACTTCTGCCCTTGTCATTGGTCTATTCAAGGTTTTGACTTCTTCCTGGTTTAGGCTTGGGAGGGTGTAAGTGTCCAGGAATTTATCCATTTCTTCTAGGCTTACTGGTTTATGTGTATAGAGTTATTCATAGTAATCTCTGATGGTGGTTTGTATTTCTGTGGAATCTGTGGTGATAGCCCCTTTACCGTTTTTTATTGCTTCTATTTGATTATTCTCTGTTTTCTTTTTTATTAATCTGGCTAGTGGTCTTCTGTTTTGTTGATCTTTTCTGAAAAACCAGCTCCTGGATTTACTGATTTTTTGAAGGGTTTTTTGTGTCTCTATCTCCTTCAGTTCTGGTCTGATCTTACTTATTGCTTATCTTCTGCTAGCTTTTGAGTTTTTTTCATCTTGCTCCTCTAGCTCTTTCAATTTTAATGATAGGGTTTCAATTTTAGATCTTTCCTTGCTTCTCATCTGGGCATTTACTGCTATAAATTTTCCTCTAGACACAGCTTTAAATGTGTCCCAGAGATTCTGGTATGTTTGTTTTCGTTCTCGTTGGTTTTGAAGAACATCTTTATTTCTGCCTTCATTTCATTGTTTATCCAGTCAACATTCAAGAGCCAGTTGTTCAGTTCCCTTGAAGTTGTGCAGTTCTGAGTTAGTATCTGAATTCTGAGTTCTAATTTGATTGCACTGTGGTCTGAGAGACTTGTTTGTTATGATTTCCATTCTTTAGCGTTTGCTGAGGAGTGATTTACTTCCAATTATGTGGGCAGTTTTAGAGTAGGTGTGATTTGGTGCTGAGAAGAATGTATATTCTGTGGATTTGGAGTGGAGAGTTCTGTAAATGTCTGTTAGGTTTGATTGGTCCAGGTCTGAGTTCAAGTCCTGGATATCCTTGTTAATTTTCTGTCTCATTGATCTGTCTAATATTGACAGTGGAGTGTTGAAGTCTCCCAGTAGTATTGTGTGGGAGTCTAAGTCTCTTTGTAGGTCATTAAGAAGCTTGCTTTATGTATCTGGGTGCTCCTGTATTGGGTACATATATATTTAGGATCATTAGTTCTTCTTGTTGCACTGATCCTTTTACCATTATGTAATGTCCTTCTTTGTCTCTTTTGATCTTTGTTGGTTTAAAGTCCATTTTATCAGAGACTAGGATTGCAACTCCTGCTTTTTTTTGTTCTCCATTTGCTTGGTAGATCTTCCTCTATCCCTTTATTTTGAGTCTGTTTGTATCCTTGCATGTGAGATGGGTTTCCCCGATACAGCACACTGATAGGTTTTGACTTTTTATCCAATTTGCCAGTCTGTGTCTTCTGATTGGGGCATTTAGACCATTAACATTTAAGGTTAATATTGTTATGTGTGAATTTAATCCTGTCATTTTGATGCTAGCTGGCTGTTTGGCCTATTAGTCGACGCAGTTTCTTCATTATATCAATGCTCTTTACCATTTGGTCCGTTTTTGGAGTGGCTGGTACTGGTTGTTTCTTTCTACGTTTAGTGCTTCTTTCAGGAGCTCTTGTAAAGCAGGCCTGGTGGTGATGAAATCTCTGAGCAATTGCTTGTTCATAAAGGATTTTATTTCTCCTTCGCTTATGAAGGTTAGTTCGGCTGGATATGAAATTCTAGGTTGAAATTTCTTTAAGGATGTTGAATATTGGCCCCCACTCTCTTCTGGCTTATAGGCTTTCTGCTGAGAGATCCACTGTGAGTCTGTTAGGCTTCACTTTGTGGGTAACCCGACCTTTCTGTCTTGCTGCCTTTTCTTTTTCCTTTATTTCAACCGTGGTGAATCTGAGGATTATGTGCCTTTGGGTTCCTCTTCTTGAGGAATATCTTTGTGGCGTTCTCTTTATTTTCTGGACTTGAATATGGGCCTGCCTTGCTAGGTTGGGGAAGTTCTCCTGGATAATATCCTGAAGAGTGTTTTCCAGCTTGGATTCATTCTCTCCGTCACATTCAGGTACACCTGTCAAATGTAGATTAGGTCTTTTCAGATAATCCCATAATTCTTGGAGGCTTTGTTCCTTTCTTTTTAGTCTTTTTTCTCTAATCTTGCCTTCCCATTTTATTTCATTGAGTTGATCTTCAATTTCTGATATCCTTTCTTCTGCTTGGTCGATTCAGCTATTGAAACTTGTGTATGCTTCTCGAAGTTCTCATGCTGTGTTTTTCAGCTCCATCAATTCATTTATATTCCTCTCTAAGCTGTTTATTCTCATTAGCATTTTGTCAAACCTTTTTTCAAGGTTCTTAGTTTCTTTGCATTGGGTTAGAACATGATCTCTTAGCTCAAACAAGTTTATTACCCACCTTCTGAAGCCTGTTTCTGTCAATTCATCAGACTTACTCTTCATCCAGCCTTGTTCCCTTGCTGGTGAGGAGTTGTGATCCCTTGGAGGAGGAGAGGTGTTGTGGTTTTAGGTATTTTCATCCTTTTTGTGCTGGTTTCTTGCCATCTTTATGGATTTATCTACCTGTGGTCTTTGTGGTTGGTCATTTTCAGATGGGGTCTCTTAGTGGATGTCCTTTTTGTTGCTGATGAAGTTATTTCTTTCTGTTTCTTAGTTTTCCTTCTAACAGTCAGGCCCCCCTGCTGTAGGACTGCTGGAGGTCCACCCCAGACCCTGCTTGCCTGGGAATCACCTGCAACAGCCTCTGCGTTTTCACTGGGAACTACAATCCACAGCTGTTCCTATTCTGTCATCTTGCCCTCTTCCTTATTCTTAAGGAACAGAGCCTTATGGTGGCCTGGCTGTTTATAGGATCATCTGCCTTCATTATTGGACATCTGCTGGCCCCTCTTTGCCAGCCAAGTCCCTTCTAACATGGGCGTGCACCACTCACACCCCACGTGCTTACATACGTGCATGTTACACACCACATACCACATGCCCATGTATGTGCATGTTCTGTACTACACAGACGTGTGCATATGTACATTTCACACTGCACATCCATGCATGCATGTTCCCAACTGCATATTATACATACATACATGTACCACACTACACACATACCGTGCACACATATACCATACCACTGGTTCCACTAGGAGGGTGTCATGTCTGGGACCCAGAGCACAGATTTGAAAATGAAAGTGTGAATGAACACTCTAGGTCTCCGTGGAGCAGTTTAAAAACTGTGTCTGTCCATGTGGGCAGTTAATTAGGTAATTTTTGATTTGAGTTCCCAAGTACCTGGAAGTTTAGTTAAAAAGCAGTACCTAAAATTTGTACCTGCAGTCACTCAAAGCTTTTATTAGCCAGTAGTTGAGTTTTTTACTGCATCGGCAGAGAAGCCTAAAGCAGCTGTTTCTTTTCCCCAGACTGTCATTGAGGATGACTGCCTTCCCATGGACCAGTTTGCTGTGCACCTGATGCCGCATCTCCTCACCTTAGCAAACGACAGGGTTCCTAATGTGCGAGTACTTCTTGCAAAGACGTTAAGACAAACTCTACTAGAAAAAGGTAGGTAGTGGCTCTACTAGAAGCAACGTGTGAGTAGGGAATGATGTCTGTGGACTGTGCTGGATCAACAAATACCAAAGTAGTAGTATTATCTGCTCAAAGAAAATAATCTGGTGGAAGGAAGTATTTTAGTTCTGGTGGTTCTCTCAAGAGGACATGAAAGATTAAAGGGATTTTTAATTAGTCCTCTACTGTTCTAGTAGGAGTGTTTTTATCATGGGCATGTATCATTTTTATAATTTAAAACTTTGTTTGTTTGTTTGAGACAGAGTCTCGAAAAGGAGTGCAGTGGGGCGATCTTGGCTCACTGCAGCCTCTGTCCTCCAGGTTCAAGCGATTCTCCTGCCTCAGCCCCTCCAGTTGCTGGGATCACAGCCACCATGCTTGGCTAATTTCGTATTTTTAGGAGAGATGGGGTTTCACCATGTTGGCCAGGCTGGTCTCGAACTCCTGAGCTTATATGATCTGCCTTCCTTGGCCTCCCAAAGTGCTGGGATTACAGGCATGAGCCACCGCGCCCAGCCTAAAACTTAAGTTTTTAAAATTGGGTATTCTCTTTATGTGCAAATTATTGCCTGGCAGCCTGCCACTTGCACTCTCCAGTATGGGGCTGGACCTGTGTTTGCTCTCCCTTCTGTCCTTAGGCAAGAAACAGATGCCCCATAGTATTTGTTTTGCTGGAAATTATAATCTCTTCAAGATTCAAGGTGGTTTATTTATTTTAACCTACTCCTCCACCCAGAACACCTCATAAGTATAGTTGAATGCGTGAATGAAGCACAGAAAGAAGTTTGTAGTAGATGTCAAAGAATAAGGAGAAATGAATATTGCTTTTTTTTTTTTGTAGTTGGCATTTGGAAGTGTTTTTTCTTTTACTGCTACTTAATAGCTAAGAAGTGTGATGTTTTCACTGGTTTAATCATTTAATATTCCTTAGCTGTCACTGAATATCATGAGACTTAGTCTTATAAAAACAAGATAAATTTCATAAATCTTTTTATTCTGGCACTTTTTCTTCCTATAACAAATCAGTTTGGATTACTGTTTATGTTTCAATGTGGCTTCTGTGTGTACTTGTAGAAATGTCCTGTTTTATAATGACTAAGAACTGTTTTTTTTTTTTTTTTTTTTTTTTTTTTTGAGACGGAGTTTCGCTCTTGTTACCCAGGCTGGAGTGCAATGGCACGATCTCGGCTCACCGCAACCTCCGCCTCCTGGGTTCAGGCAATTCTCCTGCCTCAGCCTCCTGAGTAGCTGGGATTACAGGCACGTGCCACCATGCCCAGCTAATTTTTTGTATTTTTAGTAGAGACGGGGTTTCACCATGTTGACCAGGATGGTCTCGATCTCTCGACCTCGTGATCCACCCGCCTCGGCCTCCCAAAGTGCTGGGATTACAGGCTTGAGCCACCGCGCCCGGCCCTAAGAACTGTTTATACTCATACTTGACAGAACTCTGAAATGTTCTGTTAGACTGGTTTCATGTGTCCTGTGCATGTGTCATTTCCAGACTATTTCTTAGCCTCTGCCAGCTGTCACCAGGAGGCTGTGGAGCAGACCATCATGGCTCTTCAGATGGACCGTGACAGTGACGTCAAGTATTTTGCAAGCATCCACCCTGCCAGTACCAAAATCTCTGAAGATGCCATGAGCACAGCATCCTCAACCTACTAGAAGGCTTGAATCTCGGTGTCTTTCCTGCTTCCATGAGAGCTGAGGTTCAGCAGGCGTTCCACACGCATGTGACCTGGGATAGCTTTCGGGGGAGGAGAGGCTTTCCTCTCCTGCAGACTGAGTTGCAGGTGCAAGTTGCCCACACCCAGTACCAGGGATTTTAAGAGTCAAGAGAAAGTACAGTAAACACACTATTATCTTATCTTGACTTTAAGGGGAAATAATTTCTCAGAGGATTATAATTGTCACCGAAGCCTTAAATCCTTCCGTCTTCCTGACTGAATGAAACTTGAATTGGCAGAGCATTTTCTTTATGGAAGGGATGAGATTCCCAGAGACCTGCATTGCTTTCTCCTGGTTTTATTTAACAACCAACAAATGAAATTCTTACAGCTGAAGGCAGACATGTGCCCAGATGTGAAAGAGACCTTCAGTGTCAGCCCTAAGTGTTCTCTCCCAGGCAAGGACCTGCTGGGTTCTGTGGCCAGCTGTCCAGCCCAGCCCTGTGTGTGAATCGCTTCTGATGTATGTAAATGGGAAAGGTTTTTTTTTTACTTCTCCTGAGGGCTTGATGCTAACACGAAAGTAGGATTGACTTTAACTCGGAAGTACAGCATATTGCTGTACACATTTACAGAATGGTTGCTGAGTGTCTGTGTCTGAATTTTTCATGCTGGTCATGACGTGAAGGAAATTTATTAGACGTATACTATATGTCAGGTGTTTTAAACTTGATCATGATCAGCTCTAAGGTGCAACTTCTTCACATACTGTACATACCTGTGACCACTCTTGGGAGTGCTGCAGTCTTTAATCATGCTGTTTAAACTGTCGTGGCACAAGTTCTCTTGTCCAAATAAAATGTATTAATAAGATCTATAGAGAAAGATATCTACACTTTTGATTGTTTTCTAGATGTCTATGAATAAATGCAATTTGTGACCTGTATTAATGATTTAGTTTAAAATGGGGAAACTAGATTAAAATATTTGTCTTTTAACTAGTTTATTAGTTTCTTTGAATCTGCCTTTGTCCCTGGGGTTGGGTTTTGCTCTTGGCAGTAGCAGGTGCCTCTTGGGTCTTCTTCCTGCTCCTGCCTGCAGCCCCAAGGGCAGGTGGGCGCCAAATGTCTGGCGGAGCTTGGACGCGCCCCACTGAAGACGGCAGTGGGGTTTGTCTTGAAGCTCCTGAGACATAGTCAAGCATCTCTGAGTCTCAGTTTCTTCATCAGTAAAATGGGAATTAGTAAAACCTGCCCTGTTTCTCACAGGGTTGCTTTGCAAGCAAATGAGATTCTATTTGAAGGTGGTTTGTAAAGTGCTATGTGTATATACATTCGATGTTCCTGTAAGCCCGGTTTGAAAACCTTGGCCTGAGTCCCCTGGTGCTTCTTTGAGTTTGGGTTTTATTTACTCAGCCAGCAGGGACTCTTCAGTAAGTCAAAATAAGTTCCTTTGAACTTCAGTATGGGATTTGGGAATACATGGGCTGCTTCCTGTCTACACTATTACAGGTAAGCCTTTGGCTGCTGCTTCTTGCATTATAACCCAGATATTTACACTCTGCAAATATAAGGGTGAACAAATCCCACTGGGAAGGATGTTCAAATGAAGAGATAAATGCATAGGTAATATGTGAAGTGTGTAATGGGGGCAGGGCTGGGGAGCAGCTGTGAAGGGTGTGGGGTGGTCTCCGAAGGCCTCTGAAAGCAGCATTGGAGGCGAAGACCTGGTGCCTTGATTTAGCCTCATGTTTGAGCTGCATATTCTCTGTTACAGACTTTTGGCACCCAGTATTTCAGTTCTCTAAATCGCATTAGTATCATAGACTGATAGCAGTATTTTTTTAAAGCAGTGGCTATGCTAACATGGTATGTTTGGGGATAAAGAACTTGAATTTAAGGTGCGCTAGAGCACCTTGTAAAGTTAAAAATGCAAAAGCCCATTCCACTCTGCAGCCTTTATGCATCCTGTCCTACCAAGGGACATCCTTCGACACCCCAGTTAGGTTCTAAAGTGCTCCAAAGAGTACGCTGCACTTGAAAATATTTCAGTGGCAATGAATCCAAGAGACACCTGCATTGACAGCTTTCACCTCCTACCGTCAAGGCATTCCCAGTGTGAAGACTTTCTAATAGAATTCAAAATAAGATTGGAGTGTCACCCTCTTTATTTAAACTCTTAATACTTGCCATGATGCCTTCTGTAGCTGCTCTGTAGAAGGTGAGGTGAGGCGGGCATGTTCCTGGCAGCTGGAGCCAGCCTGTGTGTGACAGGTGTCCTGGGTCCTGTCTCACATGTGGCCTCTGCTTACACAGGATCTCCTAAGGGAGGGAACTGGGATTCCAAAGCCAGTATAAAGCCAAGCAAATGTGGAAATCCCCAACAAAATGAAAGTGGAAACAGCAACTAGTATTCACAATTTTTCCTTTCACAAGATAAAAATAAGATGGTAAGCTGTCTTTGAGGGTATTTAATACTGGGTGGCCAGTCTTGTTTTTTTTTTTCTTTTTTTTTTAATCTTCTCTTTATTTTGACTTTTTTTTGTCTTTTATTGCATTTTAGGTTTTGGGGTACATGTGAAGAACATGTAAGATTGTTGCATAGGTACACACATGGCAGTGTGATTTGCTGCCTTCCTCCCCATCACCTATATCTGGCATTTCTCCCCATGCTATCTCTCCCCAACTCCCTACCGCCTGCTGTCCCTCCCCTATTTCCCCCCAACAGACCCCAGTGTGTGATGCTCCCCTCCCTGTATCCATGTGTTCTCATTGTTCAACACCTGCCTATGAGTGAGAACATGCACTGCTTGATTTTCTGTTCTTGTGTCAGTTTGCTGAGAATGATGGTTTCCAGTTTCATCCATGTCCCTACAAAGGACACGAACTCGTTTTTGATGGCTGCATAATATTCCATGGTGTATATGTGCCACGGTTTCCCTGTCCAGTCTATCATTGATGGGCATTTGGGTTGGTTCCAGGTCTTTGCCATTGTAGACAGTGCTGCAGTGAACATTTGTGTGCATGTGTCCTTATAGTAGAATGATTTATAATCCTTTCAATACATACCCAGTAATGGGATTTCTGGGTCAAATGGAATTTCTGTTTCTAGGTCCTTGAGGAATCACCACACTGTCTTCCACAATGTTCTTGAACTAATTACACTCCCACCAACAGTATAAAAGTGTTTCTATTTCTCCACATCCTCTCCAGCATCTGTTGTCTCCAGATTTTTTAATGATTGCCATTCTAACTGGTGTGAGATGGTATCTCAATGTAGTTTTGATTTGCATTTCCCTGATGACCAGTGATGATGAGCATTTTTTCATGTTTGTTGGCCTCATGTATGTCTTCTTTTGTAAAGTGTCTGTTCATATCCTTCACCCACTTTTGAATGGGCTTGTTTTTTTCTTATAAATCTGTTTTAGTTCTTTGTAAAATCTGGATATTAGCCCTTTGTCAGATGGGTAGACTGCAAAAATTTTTTCCCATTCTGTTGGTTGCCGATTCACTCCAATGACTGTTTCTTTTGCCGTGCAGAAGCTGTGGAGTTTGATTAGGTCCCATTTGTCTATTGTGGCTTTTGTTGCCAGTGCTTTTGGTGTTTTGGTCATGAAGTCCTTGCTATGCCTATGTCCTGAATGGTTTTGCCTAGATTTTCTTCTAAAGTTTTTATGGTGTTAGGTCTTATGTTTAAGTCTTTAATCCATCTGGAGTTAATTTTAGTGTAAGGTGTCAGGAAGGGGTCCAGTTTCTGCTTTCTGCACATGGCTAGCCAGTTTTCCCAACACCATTTATTAAACAGGGAATCCTTTTCTCATTGCTTGTTTTTGTCAGGTTTGTCAAAGATCGGATGGTTGTAGATATGTTGTGTTGCCTCTGAGGCCTCTGTTCTGTTCCATTGGTCTATATTTCTGTTTTGGTACCAATACCATGCTGTTTTGATTACTGTAGCCTTGTAGTATAGTTTGAAGTCTGGTAGTGTGATGCCTGCCGCTTTGTTTTTTTTTGCTTAGAACTGACTTGGCTATGTGGGCTCTCTTTTAGTTCCATATGAAGTTTAAGGTGTTTTTTTCCAGTTCCGTGAAGAAGGTCATTGGTAGCTTGATGGGGATAGCATTGAATCTGTAAATTACTTTGGGTAGTATGGCCATTTTCACAATACTGATTCTTCCTAACCAGGAACATGGAATGTTTCTCCATCGGTTTGTGTCCTCTCTTATTTCGTTGAGCAGTGGCTTGTAGTGCTCCTTGAAGAGGTCCTTTACATTCCTTGTCAGTTGTATTCCTAGGTATTTTATTCTCTTTGTAGCAATTGTAAATGAAAGTTCAGTCATGATTTGGCTCTCCATTTGTCTATTATTGATGAATAGGAATGCTTATGATTTTTGCACATTGATTTTGTATTCTGAGACTTTGCTGAAGTTGCTTACCAGTTTCAGGAGATTTTGGGCTGAGACGATGGGGTCTTCTGGATATACAATCATGTCGTCTGCAAATGGAGACAGTTAGACTTCCTCCTTTCCTATTCTAATACCCTTTATTTCTTTTTCTTGCCTGATTGCTCTGGCTAGAACTTCCAGTACTATATTGGAGTGGTGAGAGAGGGCATCCTTGTCTAGTGCCAGATTTCAAAGGGAATGTTTCCAGTTTTTGTGGGTGGCTAGTCTTAGAAGATACCCTTCGATGTCATAGAACTTCTGAGCAACAAAGGATGAAGAGGAAAGCCATACTTTTTAAAATAGCTTTTTAGGCACTGCTTGGTCACTGCCAGAAATTCCTTCTCTGCTGCCCCCAGTCTCCCCAGCAGGCCCTTCCACTTGGTGGTGGTGTTGATGTGGGGCCCCACTTTCTGCCCGGTTTGGCTGGATCCGGGGTCACAGCACTCACGATCTCTGCTGTCCCTCCCCTCTTGGGAAAGGTGTGCTTGCAAGTTGTGAAAGGTGGAAGCTCAGTAGTGAGTTCCTCCTTCCCTCCCTGATTTCTCCTAACTTCCAGGGAGCGGACTTGCTGCTGGGCTGTTGGAGGGCTGGTTTGAGGAGTAGCTACATTTTTGGCACATGAGTTTTGCCCTGACGTTTTGGAGATAGATAGTTCTATGATGCTTTCTAGAACCCTCTTAACTCCAAACTGGCAATGTGTTGAGTCACAGATGATTCTTCAGCCTCTGGGTGGGCGTGGTGCTGGTTCTTCTTGAAGGGCAAGGAAGACAGTTCCCTCCACCCTCTAGGGTTCAGTAATTGAATCCGAAATAAACTGACAGTAGGCAGGTTAACAGGAGAGCTTAGGTGAACCTTTCACATGCATGGGGGCATCACACTGAAGAGCCGATAACCTCCAAACCCAGTGAGATGGAGAAGCTTCGGTACTCCCTTCACAGGGGACAGGGAAAGGGATGGGGGCAACTTAGGAGAGGGTAAATGACCTTTGGGAAAGATTAATGAGCCCTTGAAAGAACAGGTGACAGTCTGCAACAGAGCATCCAGGTGTGACATGTCAGCCTTCGGTTCCCTGGTGGTTGAGGTTCCCAGGGAGGGGTTCATGACAGTTGAGGTCCTTCTGGAGGATTTGTCTTTGAGCAGATGAAGATGTCCAGAGCAAGCCCCTTTCAGCATTTGCCATTCCCCAACTGCCCTCAGTCAAGTCTAGTGTGGCATAGATTGAGGTGGCATTTCCTGAAGTCCTTCGTTTTCACACCTGGTTGGTGCAGGTCCCATGTTACATAGGGGTGACTTATTTCCAGGGGAGCTGGTGCCAAAACAGCCATGCTTAGTATGGGGTTGAAGGGCCAGGCAGGTGCTTAGTGGGGAGCACAGGGCAGGCAGGGACTTTGGGGAGGCAGCAAGGATGTAATCTCTTCGGGCACTGGAACGTGTGGTCATGTTTCTGTGGAGGGTTCCGAAGCAGTGAAGCAGCAAGAAGGAAAGTCCCCGCAACTGAATGCCAAGCAAATGGCCTCTTTAATGACTCAAACCAGATAAGAAACTGAGTCTGGAAATAAAT